CTTTTACATACATATAATAAAAGTATTAAAAAGTAAATATCTATATTTTATATTATTAATATCTATTTTATTTAAATATAAAGCTTTTTAAGTAAAAAATTTATATATTATATATTATACAATTAAAGCTATTATATAAAAAATTTTCACTATATTTTAGCTTAATATATATATAATTCCTTATATTTAAAATTTCATGCTTATAGCTGTAGTAGTTATGAAAATGAGGGGAGTAGTTGTGTGTGGTGGGGTGTGCGTCAGGTGGGGCCGAGCGTCAGCTGATAAAATACGGTACGCAAACACATCGACCGTGACAGCGTATACGAAGCTCAACAGCGCGCAAACGGAGGCCCTCGCAGCGATTACAAGAAAGTAGATAAGTAGATGTTCGAGATGGAGGAGAATAGGCTTCTGGGCTCCGAGAATAGCGGGCGATGCAAAGCTCGAATGTGGGTTGGGTCTCACCCAGGTTATGGTAGTAAGTATCCTTGCATCGACACCTTTCGCAGGAGCTGAAATATAAGAGAGTTGCCTGTAGGCCTATCTGGAAACAGACCACGACTTGACGTATTCATCGTTGGCTTCGCTACACAGGAACGCCGCTTTCTTTGGACTTGTTAGGTGGTGTGATCGAAGAAACCCTGAGATCGCGACAAGGAGGGCAGCATATCACCTCAATACGCCATCGACCATCACAGGATCACTAGGCAACCATGAAGTCTGGTTCCATGTCTCAACATGATTGGTTTACTCAAATTCAATGTCTTCTTCAAGAAGAGGGGTGCATCCACCTTGGAGCCAAGATCTCAGCCGCACCTCGGAATTACAGAGAAGTCCGTCGCAGCGATGCCAATGGCTCAGCTCGGCGCAGAAGCCCTCTCTAAGTTTGATTGGAGTTGGACCTGAACAAAAATGAAGGCTTAAGTCGTATGACTTAGTCTCAAGTCTTGTACCGTGCACCACTCGAATACCTCATGGTTGTTTTATCCGCCGTCAGCTCGGAACGCATTTAAATCCAATTTCTAAGGGTCTAATTAATATCTAAGCACCGGTTACAGTATTTCGAAGTACAGTGCGTTCGACACCTTTAATCAGCTAAAAGTTTCGGCCAGTGCCCTCTGCTATCAGGATGGATCAAGTGTCAGCAGGATCACTTCACGAGCCGAGCCTGGCGACTGGGGCTTCTCCGAGCCCTCTAGCTGCAGTAACAGCACCGTCCGGAGGAGGGGCCATTCAGGGAATTGGAGAGACTTTTTCTGTCTCCGGACCGACGGGGACTGCTTCTGCCTCCATACCTCTTCCCACCAGCACAGCGAGATCCGGTTCCACCCCAAAACTTACCCTCACATATGACTCGGGATCTGGGAATGGCCCTTTTGGCCTTGGATGGCAGCTCTCCGTGCCTTCCATTACTCGAAAGACATACAAGGGACTTCCCCAATATTTGGACGACGAAGAATCTGACGTGTTTATGATGTCTGGGGCCGAAGATTTCGTCCCTGTCCTTGAGCCATCAGCCAATGGGTGGATTAAACAACTTCCTATCAAACGGACTTCTGGTCAGCTCGTATATCAGATCACTACGTATCGACCTCGAGTAGAGGCGGAATTTGCAAGAATTGAGAGGTGGTCCGACTCTGACACTGGAATTGCTCACTGGCGCGCTGTGAGCAAGGACAATGTGACTTCCATATTTGGCGACACCAAGCTTTCCAGGATCAGCGACCCAGCTTGCCCAAGTCGCATTTTCTCTTGGTTGCTAAGTAGGACCTACGACGACAAAGGGAACCTAACCCATTACGACTACAAGGCGGAAAATTCGGAGGGAGTTGATGAGTCGCTCATATCTGAGCAGCATCGTTCCTACATCGATCGCACAGCCTCCAGATATTTAAAGCGAGTCAGATATGGAAATGTGATTTCACATAAATCGGTCAAGGACCACGACGATTTGAACTTTTATTTCGAAGTTGTCTTCGACTACGGTGAACATAGCCCCCATATTCCTACTCCACGAGAATGTCGGCACTGGAATGCGCGTCAGGATCCCTTCTCAAGTTTCCGTTCAACCTTTGAGATCCGTACTTACCGCCTCTGCGAGAGAGTCTTAATGTTTCATCACTTCCCAGACGAGCCAACAGCAGGAAAGGATTGTCTCGTGAGTTCCATGGAGTTGCACTATTCTAGTCAGCCCACAGTGACTCTTCTCACCTCAGCAACTCAGAAGGGCTTCAGGAAAGTCGATGGCCAGTGGTTTACTCAGTCACTTCCACCGCTAGAGTTCGAATACAGCCAACCAACTATTGCTGACGACGCTATTTCACTCGGCCCACGTGCACTTGAAAATGTACCAGTCGGTGTGGCCGACACAAATTACCAGTTTCTCGACCTCGATGCAGAGGGGCTACCAGGGCTTCTCACCCACCAGTCTAGCGAGTGGTTCTACAAACCCAACCTTGGAGGTGCACGCTTTGGTCCGATGCAAGTTCTTCCGCAAAGACCCACGGTGACGGAAGGCGGAAGTCAAATTGCTCAATGGCTTGATCTTAGCGGCGATGGCAAGCTCGATCTCGTACGTTTTCAAGATACCGCTCCAGGGTTCTACCGCCGAGATAATCTGCTCAGTAGCGGGTGGGAGCCTTTCCGCCATTTCCTCTCCATTCCCAACATCAACTGGTCAGTGGCTCGTATGATTGATCTCACAGGTAACGGCTTGGCGGACATTCTCATAACAGACGACCAATTGTTTACTGCCTATGCATCGCTCGGTGATTCTGGGTTTAACACGGCAGAGTACTGGCGACCGCCTGTGGATGAGGATGGAGGACCTCGTCTTTTGCTCCACGACGATCAGCAGAATATTTTCCTAGCCGATATGTCTGGCGACGGACTTGCCGATATCGTCAGAATTTGCAACGGTGAGGTTTGCTACTGGCCGAACTTGGGATATGGCCGATTTGGCCGCAAGCATTGTCTTGCTGATGCACCATTTTTCGATCTTCCGGACATGTTCACGCGCCAACGCATTATATTAGCTGATGTCGATGGGACGGGTACCACTGATCTCATACTTCTTCATCCCGACGGGCCTACAGTCTACATCAACGAAGCTGGTAACAGTTTAAGCGCCCCTCGATTGCTTGAGAACTGCCCTCCGTACGATGATATGAAGTCTGTCAACGCCATTGACCTTCTTGGTCAAGGGACAGCTTGTCTCACATTTTCTTCTAAATTATTGTCCGACGAGAACACTGGCCGGCAACTGTTCTATCTGGATCTCATGACTAACGGAAAACCATATCTCCTAAATTCTGTCAAGAACAACTTAGGTAGTGAAACTTATATCACCTACGAATCGTCGACAACTTTCTACGTTCAAGATAAGCTTGCCGGAAGGTCATGGCACACCAACCTACCATTCCCTGTACAGGTCGTAAGCAAAGTCACTACAGTGGACCGAATTAGCGGAAACCAGTTCACCTCGAAGTACGCTTACCACGAAGGATTTTTTGACCCTTATGAAAGAGAGTACCGTGGTTTTGGGCTAGTGGAGAAATGGGACAAGGATGAATTCGACAAGTTTCAAGACTTCCCAGAACGGTTACATGCTACGAACACAGATTCAGCATTCACGAGCCCACCCGTCTTAACACGGTCATGGTATGATACTGGTGCCCTTATAGGGGGTTATCACATTGCACAGTCTCTGCTCTACCAGGACTGCAATTCCATTCAGTATGGGGCTCATCATTTGCCAATATCCACGCCGCTCGATACTATCAGAACCTCTGACAAAGAGATACCACATATCATCACTATTGAAGAGATGCGTGAAGCCTTCCGCAGCGTTCGAGGAACTTTGTTGCGCGAAGAGGTATTTGGCTTGGATGGAAGCCAGCACGAAGCAGTGCCGTACCTTGTCCAAGAGGCCAATTCCCAAGTGGAGCTGTTTCAACCGATGGGACCCAACCGCCATGCTGTCTTTTTCGTCCGCCCATGCGAGTCACTTAAGGTGTACTATGAGAGATGCAGAGGGATCGTTACAGGCAGTTTGAAGGAGGATCCGCGTGTCTCGCATAGCATGCTGTTGGAGACTGACATGTTTGGAAATCCCTTAGTGTCTGTGTCAATTGCGTACGGTCGTCAGAACAAAGAGTCAAGTATCCATCTCAACGAGAAGGATCAACAGAAGCAAGCGCAGACTCATTGTGTTCTCCAGATGTCTGCATATACTAACCGAATACTTGAACCAGACACGTATCGCCTTCCAGTTCAATGGGAGTCTCAGAGTTTCGAGCTTCGAGGCCTTGTAGAAGGGCTTAGCTGTGCCCATGCCCTAGAGAAGTGCTGCCAGAACAAGCTACTCGAGCCAAAACTTAATGAGAGGAAGGGCGGCCGGACTTCACTTGTTCTTTTGAGCTTCTCGGCCGTGGCGCTGCTTGTAAAAAGTTTTCTAGCGAACCCGATTGATGAGGCATTTGAGGGTAGTCCTACTACAGAAGCTCCAAACCTATCCAATTCCATGGCTCGGAGGCTTCTTTCTCGTAAAAGAACAGCCTTCCGCAGTGACGATATGTCAACGGCTCTTCCATTCGGAGTTCTAGAACCATTGGGCTTACCGTACGAGTCATACACCCAAGTCCTTACGCCTGGGTTGGCCAAGCATAGCTACTTAGATCCTAACAGAATCGACCCATCCAACATTGATGCTGTGCTGGAGAACCAATGCGGGTATGTCAAACTTGACGGTGATTCCAATTACTGGGCACCTTTCGGACGTGTCTTCTTCTCACCGAAGGAATTAGACACTCCAGTAGAAGAGAGGCAGTATGCTGAGCGACATTTCTTCCTGCCGCATCGCCACAGGAATCCTTTCCATACGCCATCCTTCAATACTGAAATGGAGGTGCGATTCGATAAGTATGACCTGCTACCTATAGAGTCTAGGGACTCGGTGGGTAATATCATCAGCGCTGGCGTGCGAGCAAAGGGCGAGCGCTTTGGGCAGCTAACGAAAACGTCTTACGATTACCAACACTTGCGACCTCTGCTTGTTATGGATGGGAATCGCAATTGCACCACTTACGCATTTGACGCGCTTGGCATAATTTCAGCAATCGCAATTCAAGGAAAACCGGAGGAAAGCCTTGGTGACAACCTGGGAGATTTTCATTGGGTCTCAGATGAAGAGACGGATGAGTTTTTCAACTCGCCAATTTCTTCTGCAGAGTCATTGCTAGGCAATGCCACGTCCCGGATGATCCATGACCTGCACGCCTATCATCGCACAAGGAGCTCAGTACGACCCTCACCTATTGTAGCCGCCACCATCAGCCGTGAGATGCACGTGTCGGACCTCGCTCCAACCCAGAGACCCAGACTTCAGCTGTCATTTGTTTACCAGGACGGGTTGGGGCGCATTGCGCAAAAGCAAACTCTAGCTTCAGATGAAATTAAAATAAAATGTCCGAGGTGGCTCACTACTGGCTGGACACGTTATAATGACAAGGGTAGTGCAGTTCAAAAGTACGAACCCTTTTTCTCCGAATCACACCACTATCTGAGCGACTCAAAGCACGGAGTCTGCTCAACGTACTTATTAGATCCTCTCCAAAGAACGGCGGCGACTCTCAGCCCGAACCAAACTTGGTCAAAGAATGTCCTCACTCCATGGGCTGAGAAGGTCTGGGACGCTAATGATACCTGTACGATAGACCCGGTTCATGACCCCGATGTTGGTGGCTATTTCAAAAAACTACCGGAGGCGTTTTACTCACCGACATGGTACGAGGCACGTCAAAACAACAAACTTGGTGTCTCTGAAGCCGATGCTGCCATGAAGGCAGCTGCACATGCGGGTACTCCTACAACTGCTTATTATGACTCCATCGGGCGCAAAATCGTGGTTGTAATGGAGAAGAGAGAGCTACGACCACATGGAACTGTTGAATCAATCAACTTTGTTACTCGTGTAGACTACGACGCCAGTGGCAACATCCGTGGATCTTTCGATAAGCTCGGTAGACAAATAGAGGTGCGCGACTATGACATGCTCGGACAGACAATCCACAATTCATCCATGGACAATGGAGAGCGCTGGACGCTAAAATCATGCCTTGGCGATATTGTACGCCAGTGGACAAACCGCGATCAAGAGTTATCGACTGAATACGATGAAAGTCGTCGACCCATAAGGGTATACCTCCGGCCTGACAAGGGCTCTGACGAACGTCACCTCATAACAGAGATCACTTTTGGAGAAAGCCTTGAAGATGCCGAAGAGCTGAATGCTAAAGGACGAATGGTAGCTCATAGAGACCAGTCTGGCGTGACTAAATCTGAACGGTACGACTACAAAGGCAATCTCTTGCGCGAGTCTAAGCAAGTGACGGCAGAAGCTGGCGCAGTAATAGACTGGTCTTGTGCTGCTCATGTACCATTACAGGGCCAGATTTTTCTAAAGGAATCAACTTACGACGCTCTCAACCGTTCCATTGCAATTACCGAGCCAGATGGGAGCACTGTTAGGAACCAGTATAACCAAGCAGGCCAGGTCCATTATGTTGAAGTTCAGCGGCCAGAAGACACAAAAGCACAGATCATCCTACGCTCAGCCCATTACAACGCACGAGGCCAGAGAACCCAAACAATATTTGGCAATGGAGTGGAGACGGTCAACTCATACGAAGCAGATACATTCCGCTTAAGTCGCCTTCTGACTACCCGAAGAGACGGTAAACAGCAGTCTACGGCGGTCCTACAAGACTTGCGCTACACGTACGACCCAGTAAGTAACGTGACAATGACAAGGGACGAAGCGCAGCGTACAATCTTCTATGGTGGCGAGAAAGTTGATCCGGTGTCTGCTTACACATACGATTCAACTTACCGCTTGATTGAAGCTACGGGTCGCGAGCATCTCGGTCAGGATAGCGAGAACTGGCTGAAAAGCATTCCATCGAAGCACCACAGCCACGATAATAAGGCAATGTGCAACTATCACGAAAGCTACCAATACGATGCAAATGGAAACATCACGAAAGTGAGACATGTCCGCAAAGGCGGGGCTGAGGGTAGTTGGAGTAGACACTACCGCTACGAAGAGCCAAGTTTACTTGAGCCTGAACGATTTTCTAACAGACTGACCTCTACCATGGTTGGGACGGAGGAGATGTTCTATAAATACGAAGGGCAAGAGTTGGCGACTGGGAACATTACTACTTTACCGGGTGTCGGCAACATGCGCTGGGACTTCCGCGGCCAGCTTCAGTCAGTCATTACTCAACGATGCCAAACTTCCCCGGAAACTACTTGGTATGCTTATGACGACGGAGGGAAGCGATCGAGAAAAGCGACCTATGCATCTGTTTCCGAAAATTCAAACAAAGTTAGACATGAAAGACTTTATGTGGGCAGTAGCGAGGTCTACCGTGAGTACGCCGCGGACGGCAGGCAAGTAAAGCTAGAACGCTGGACTCTTCACGTTTCCATTGGTGGCGAGAGGGTGTCGATGATCGAACGACTGTCAAAAGGGGAGTCGAAGGGTCCCAATTGCTTGACTCGATTTCAGCACGGTAATTTAATCGGCTCATCGGTTCTCGAACTAGACGCCGAAGCCCACATTCTCACTTACGAAGAATATTTCCCGTATGGTGAAACGTCCTATTATTCTCCACACTCCAAGCTGGAGACACCAAAGCGCTATCGCTACTCTGGCAAGGAAAGAGATGAGGAGAGTGGCCTCGATTACTACGGCAAGCGTTACTCCGCCGCCTGGATAGGCCGGTGGATTTCTCCAGACCCAGGAGGATACACCAACGGTCCGAATCCATACCAATTCACCCAAAGCAATCCAATCTCCTTTCAAGATCCTGATGGTGCAGTAGAAGCGATTCCGACACCGGGCGGTGTGCCAGGTATGCCACCGCCCGCCAGCGCATCGGTTATCTCAGAAGAATTAAGCGTTTTCAAGAGCGCATCTACCAGTTTCCAAAACATCTCCTACAATGTGCAAGCCGCACAGGAAGCTGGGACTCTTGGAACCACGGCTGCAGAGACTGCAGAGGCAGCTACGGTAATTACAGAGAGCACGACTACTGCCACTGCAACGGCTGAAGTTCTAACAACCAGCGCAGCCGTAGGAGAAGGAACCCTAGCTACAGGCGGCACCGTTGCGGCTGAAACTGGCCTAGGGCTTGGAGCTGGTGAGGTAGGAGGGGGTGCTTTGCTGACTTTAGAAACTGGTGGATTAATACTCATTGCAGCTGGTGTTGCCCTTATCGGCTATGGCATCTACCGTGCGGTCAAAGACGACTCGCCGGCTGCTCCTCCAGCAAAACAACCAGAGGCACCAAGCTCACAAGCAGCACAAAGTGCAAGTCCGCAAGAGCCACAAATGTCCCTCCCAGAGGACAATCAATCACGCATTGCGCCACCAGCTCCAGAGACCGTTGAAAAGGGTCCCGTATCTGCGCCAGGGCTCAACTATACACCGGCCGAAGCACCAGGCGCGTCAGAAGCACCCGAAAGTGTCGAACTTCCAGGCCAAAGCACAGACAACACAACTATTGAGGACCCTACTGAAAACATAAGTATCGAAGCTAGCAAAGACTCTCAAGGTAGAGAGTGGTGCCAGCACCGACACCATATGATCCCGCAGCGCCATCGAGATTTTTTCTCTCAAAACATCTTCGAGGACCCTGTCACTGGTCAATCAGGCGTAAGCATCAACATCGACCTGAAGGAACTTATTCGCGTGCTTCCGCAATGGGCGCATACCCTGCTTCATCAAGACGGCGCGTATGATGCAATGTGGGATCTGCAGGTCGAGCACTGGAAAGAGGTCATCGCTGCAGGTGGTAAAGTGACGGTGGAAGAGGTGTGGGATTTTGCCATTCATCTGCAATATGAGACCGAAGTGAGATTGGGCATTGAAGGTGTCTTTAATGGGAAGAGACAGCATCCTAGCAGGGACTTTGAGCCGAAGCAGAAGAAGTGAGTTGTGGTGTGAATTTAGGTAAGCTATGTATATTTTCTCACAGAAGGTTATCTCAACTAATCCAAATCAGGGCCAGTACGAAATGCGTGTCATTGCAAAGTGGGCGTAATATGGATTGGCACGATTCCATGTCGTTCCGAACGGTGTACCATCACCAAGAATAGAATAGGGGGCCAGGACAGGCTGTGTACCATTCTAAAGCTTGTATCATCACCGTGAATCTATCGCAATAGGGACTACTACGATATCTGAACCATTCCAAATGGCATACCGTTTCGAAGAACCAAAATAACAAGCAGTCTCCCTTTTCGGTTTCACGAACTACACTGTATTGCGAGACAAGTCTAAGGAACTTAAAATTCTATACAGATTAGGTTGTATACACACTTTAATATCTTTATAGTACTATTATAGATATGTTTTGTAGTTATATTTCTTATTATCAACCTATGCGTAGTGTACAAGGGAAATTCACTACACAGGTAGGTACACGTTATCACAGCTTCGAACAATCTCAGCTACGCGAAACACGTAATGTTAGTAATTCAGAATAGCTGTACGGAGAATTCATTTAGATTCTGTCATTTCCCCCAGAGGCCTGTCCTCGGTAGTCTAACCCTCCTAGGTAGCACGACGAACCCTGCGTGAAGAAAAGGCTATGCAACAATGAATCCTACCGTGAAACAGACGCACTATAACCACCTTTTACGCTAATTACCCCATTCCCTTAGAGCTCAATTGCTTAACGATGCTCCCTTGCAGACGCGGGTGGGCCTACCCGTACAAGCTTCCCTCGTGTCCCAATTACGGCAAGTCCTAGAGAATGCGACGTAGCTTTCTCCTCCATTTGCGCCAGCGAGAGACGCATATAGTAATAGTTGCAACAGCTGCTGCACGCCGTGAAATCGAAATGGAGCGGCGATATACCACACATCCTCATTTGCTGCGTCTTGGCGGCCCAAGAATTTCAGCCCCGGGAGGAACCTAACATGTGGGTATGTACATTTAGTTTTAAGGATGATATTGGCAGAATAATAATTCACAGTAGGCCACTAAAGAGGCCTTGCCACTAGAGTCAATATGTCATAATAATTTTCGGGGGGATTTCCATTACCAAAATAGCACTGTAAATGTATCCATAGATGACATCCTAGGAGACATGTCTGACGTTGGACCTAGGTATTTCTATAGAGAACCATTATCTCATATCCTACACTACGGGTCAAGTCATACAAGGCGCTTATAATATCCATACACCTGGGTTAAGATTGTATTATTTTCGACCAACTCTTTTTCAGGAGCTTCTTTTTCATACACAAGAAATTATACTACAATAGAACGCGATACAAGGACGCTTTTAAAAGAGACCGACCAATTTACAGAGTTTGCTCACTTACATAGGTAGTAAGGGAGAAAAAACAAGAGGGGAGCAAGAACGCTATAAGGAAAGGCTGGAGATGTAGTCGGAAGTGAAGCGAAACCTGTCTGTATACACGACAGACATGACACCACCAAGAACCTGCTATACCAAAACCGGCCGCCCGAGACTACGCTTGTCTAGTAAGGCGCTTTTTTAGCCCCTAGTCCCCCATCCTCTTCGTATCCGTCCTCGTCGTCCTCACCACCATCCACATCAATACTATCCAAAAACCCACTAAAATCTGGTTTCTTCACCACCCCCGTCCCCGCCCCCCTACCCCTTCCTCTCTCCCCCCTACTCCCATCCCTCTCCACGATCCCACTACCACTCACACCAGTATCGCTCCTAGGACGGCTCCCATTCCCCTCATTAACACTCCGACTTCCCACTACACCTCGTTTAAGCGCCCGACTCTTACGGACAGAGATACTGCCATTCCCACTCACAGTCCCGCTGCTCGGCGCCGTTTTAGGCCTGTGACTATCTTTCGGGCTCGGCGAGGCGGATTTTTCACGCAGGGCGGCAGGGATGGGAGGGACGGGTGGGACCCCATGTGTAGCGAACGCTTGATCGTGTTGACGAGCTGCGTGGTTTGCGGATGTAGATGTGGAAGGGGAGTGAGGGGATGGAGGAGAGGACGATGCCGCACCAGGGGGATGGCTGGTGAGCGGACGAGGGTTGAGGGTAGTGGCGGGAGTGGGTGGGGATTCTGGGGAGTTTGAGGAAAGAGGTTGTGGCAGCGGGTGCGGAGGGTGCTCTGCGGTTACGAAGCTCGCGTCAGACAGACTGTGCACGCTTACCATGGAGTCTGAAGCTGAGGAGTCAGTGGCGGAGTCATGGTGGTGGTGATGGCTTGCAACCCGCGTAGAATAACTCGTTCGAGGAGGTTCCTTGCCGCTCAAGACACGCTTCAGGTCCTCTACTCTCACGGCTGAGCGCACCGAACTCGTGCTTCCGGGGGTGGCGCTCGGGCTGCGCGTCCGATGAGGGGAACTCAGTCGTCCAACAAGCCCGTAAGCTGTTGATGGCGGTCGACTATGGCCCCTCCTCGGAGTATGTAGCGGGCTATTATTTACGCTGTCCAGGTTCCCGTTCGGAATCGTGATGCCAAGGTAATTGTTCTTTTGCTGCGTCGCGTGAGCGGATGTACCAGTTCTCGAACCTGTCATAGACGCCGAAGAAGAGTCTTTGGTATTAGACGCTATGCAGATATCCTTTGTCCAGTCGGACATCAACTCTTCTTTGACCTTTGAGGGGAGTTGGGGGGCGGGTCCGAGTGCTTGTGGCGCGATGATGGGCATGCTCAGGGAGCGGCCTGGAGAGCTTGGTGGACTGGAAGGTGGCGAGTAGAGCAACGAAGAGTAGCCTTCTGCGATTTTGTCGACGAGAGCAGACCGATTGTCAAAGGGTTTTAAGGCCTCGGCCTGGACGGCATCTATGGAGACACGGACAGGGTCGGAGTTCGGGACGTCGATGCGGTCGAGAGGCATAGGCGGAATGCGGATGGTTTTCACCCAAAGTCCTTTGTCGTTGCGTCTGGAGATCTCGGAATGGAGTGCTCGTCCAACGGATGAGGTTTCAAAGTCCAAAGCCATGCTGAGAGCCCAGAGGTAGCCATGGACCAAGCTTCCTATCCGAACTTTGGCCCCAGGATTGTCAATATTTTGAATATCCTCTTGCAGTCGGAGAATCATAGGCAAGCCACTCCGCACTGCATTCACGCCTAGCTTGTTGATGGACGTGGATAGGAGGAGATGCAGCAGTAGGAAATCAGCTTCAGAATCAACGAATTGCAGGGCATTATCATAAACGGCTAGATGCAGCAACGCCAGGAACTTGTTCTTGTCGCGCTTGGGGGATTTCTCTCTAGCCGACGCATTCGAGACAGCTCTTCTGGCTAGACCGTTCTTGTCGTTCTCCTTCTTTCGATGGTCTTCAACAACCCTTAGGTCTTCTTTCTTCTTTTCCAGATTGAGCCATGTGATCAGCGCATCAACGTATGCTTTCCGGACCTTGCCACTAGGATCGCGTAGAAGCCACTGCGTGCCCTCCCACACTCTGATGCCAATGGAGCCGCGAGAAACAGAAGCCGAGGAGCCGTCGGGCCGCCGAGTGTTTGCAGTAATAATGATGGCCTTGACGGCCTCAAGTGCTGTTAGCCGGGCTGTTTCGAAGGAAAAGAATCTATCGACATGAGCAGTCTTCTCGTGCAGGCTTGCAGAGCTGGCTACTGCATCCACTGCTCCAACCGGATCCTCAATTGCAGCCGCAGTGTTGGATACCCCTGATGACGGCGAAGGCTTTAAGCGAGTGAGGATAGCCGCTACCATATCGGAGATCTGGTCGGTGTAATAAACATGGGTTGACAGGCTTGCCATGCATTTCTGTAGTGTATTCAGTAGCTCCACGCGGAAATGTGATGGTTCCTTGACCAGTTCTACTACCGCTCCGCCCTGACTTCCCGACGACTTCGGGTTGTTTACATCCCTCTCCGACGTCACGGGAGTCGCCTGCGAGTGATGCGGCAGAATTGTTGTTCCGGGTCCGCCGAGTTGAAGAAGGAGTAATGTGTGAGAAATAAGCCCAATCAATACATCCATAACGCTGAGTCCAATGAAATTAATAGTCGAGCTTAGGAGGTAATCAAGTACAGTTGCGAGAACCAGTTGCCGCTCCAAGTCATCCTCGATGATGGGGCTTCGGATGAGCGTTTCCATGGCGCCGACGAGAATTGTGTATCGATCCTGCACCGGCGCCCAGCGACATATCATGGCCAGAAGAGTCGCCGGCCAGCTGTCATTGCTGCCTTCATGAGCAGGGAAGTGTTGGTGCGGTTTGGCGTGGCCACCGATGAACTTCAGTACCGCAGATGTGGCGAGGCGGAGCTGACCACGATTTACACCTATGAAAATATTTCTCAGCGCCTGTAGAGCGACGATGCCGACTTCCTCTTCCGCAAGCTTGTCCGCATCTTCCGTAGTCCCTGATGCTGCGATAGGATCGCCCTCCTCATCCTCGGCCGTCCGTACTGTGGACACGCTCTGCCTCCGCCGAATGTCCTTTTCTTTCTCGTGTTCCTCCTTCTCCTGCTCGCGGCTCTCGAGCCCCCGGAGATAGTCGCCGCTTTCTGAGTATATGTTTAAGAGGATAACGGGTAGTATTACGGCCAATTGGCGACCAGTCTCGGATCCGAGCGATTCCGACGAGGCAACCGCTTTCAGCGCCTGGAGGCCGGCCTTGCGGAATCTGATAGCGACTGGCCAACTGATGGGCGTCTTGTTGTGTTTGACGACCTCTTTCGATGCAAACTGCGCATATAGCTGGACAATCTCCTCGTATTGCTTGATGAAGTCTTGGTCAGCAGCGAGGGTGGCGGGGTCTTGGTGCGCACAGAGGCTCTTGAAGGTTGGGATGGACTCCTCGACTATGGAGACATCGTCGGACTTGAGGATGGTGCGGAGCATGCGCAGGACGGAGCTGGCGTAGAGGGACAGGTTTTGCGGGCATTTCTCGATGAGGGCCTTGAGGATCTCGAGACTAACTTTTACGTTTCTACAAGCAAATAGGCATCAGCAACGCACGACAATTTGCGCATAGCAAACGAGATATATCTACCCTGTGCGGCCCTTCCATACATCGGCCGTGGTGCGCTTGTCCAGAAAGTCGCCCACTTTCTGCAGCTTGCTGCGTCGCGTGCTGGCATAGTAGAGCAGGTAGCTCAGCTCACTCGAGTTCGCTTTCACGTCGGCATTGTTCTTCTGGAACTTTGGGTAACACTTCAGGACGAGGACCTGGTGTTTTGGTCGGCAGGCCTGCCGTGCGGCGTGCATGGAAGCCGACGAGGATGCGCGGAGGATACGGTGACGGAGGTAGCACGGCCGGGTGGATAGGAGGTAGAGGTAAAGGTAGAAGAGGAAAAGTAGTGCGGCCGCGGCGGGTGGCAACTAGAATACTTGCGATAGCGAGGATGGCATGCCCGAGTTTATTATAGCAACGTGGATGGGGCATAGGCAGCGTGTCACGATGCGGCCAGGGCTCCCGGCCACCGACCTGGACGGTGGAAATGTGGTCACTCAAGATCAGCCCTGCCAAGGAATGACGACGCCATCAAACATGGTGCCAATCAGATGTGATTCTCCAGATTCCACACAAGCGGGCACTCAGTGATCGTATCAGACGACTACGGATCTGTATTCGCACAACATATAATACACGTGACCTCAGGAGGCTATTCTTCCACATGCCTATACATACACTTCGGTGGTTAATGGGGACCTCAGGCGTTAGTCCTAATTTACTATGGAACGCCCTTGTACATCTTCCTACTCTTTTAGCCCTGTCGCCGATTCTCTTTAGATTTGTCTTTCGTCCTAGGAACTAACCATCTGTCCTGGTCCCAGCGTCCACGCACCTGTTGAATCTTTTGACCCTCAGCGTTCGATTTGATTATTTTACCCGGCGATGTCACGCCCTTAGGCTCTCCATTCTGGAGCGAGTACGCCTCAATTCCCGCGTCTATTAACTTTTGCCGCAATGATGCCGGGAGCTGGCTCTGTTTCCCAGAATCCATCGCATCTTGCACCCGCTTCTTCAACACCCCGAGGCGCCTGTCCATGTTAGGACGGATGCCCGTTGCGAGTTCATCAGCCGTGGGCATCGCCATGACCCACTGGAGATGGTTGCCATCACTCCATGGCGAAACTTTGAAGTACGCGCCTTCTGGCATCCCCTTGAGGATAAAATCAGGTCTTAAATGTGGGAAGTTCTGGTGCATCCAATACCATGCTGAAAAATCATAACCTAGCCATCTATCGGCTTTTTTAACCTTTGACCCCCGGAGGCGCAAGCAAAATTCGACAGGGTGGCCTGCATTGAGAAACTGATATGTTCGATCCAGCAAAATTGTCGTGTAATCCGGGGTCGAGGACAAGCTGCAATGTATCTCCTTCAGTGCTGCAAGATGAACGAACTTTATAGACGCAACCTTCTTTGACGCAATGGGGAATCGCCTCTTTCCAGTCTCATAGATGGCATATCTGTTGAATTTATTCTGCAACTCATCCTCCCTGAGCTTTTCCCAGTTTTGGCTCAGCGATTTTGGAATTTCGTCGGTCTGGTAGAGCACTTGGCCTGGTTGGACGAGCGCGAGTGCGTCTTCTAGCGAGAGCTCCTTTTGTAGCTCCTCGCCCCCAGGCTTTGTTATCAGGGTTATTTTATGGTTCGATTCGCTAAGGTTGGGGACGTGGTATAGATTGAAGGGGAGGATTTTATGTTGGCCGAGAGTGCTGTCTCGACGACTGATGTGGGCAGCTTTGTAGAGATGGAGGGTGCGACATCGCGGACGGGAAAGGAAAAGCAGGGGGTATTGAGGGCGCGAGGCCAACCGCGTCTGACGAGATAGTATAGAGTTCAGCTCGAAAGGAAGGAAATGCAGGCGTGTCGTCGGGGCCATTGTACATGCGTTAGGGTAGCTTTGTGGTGATGAATGAACTTTCTGCAGTCTCAAAAGGCTAAACCTATTTAGGCCTAGCGAACCCTGCTGCAAGATCCCGTTGAACCACAACTCGACTTCAATCAGCTGCATCCTTAGCTTAGCCACATGGTCCAACATTTCCAGTTCGAAAGAAAGTATCATGCAAAGGTAGGTCTGGCCTGCTATCCCTGTGACACATCGTCAAATGCCATCACGTTGACACTCGATGATCTCTCTGAATGATTCCGCACTTGTTCGGAAATCGTCTCCCGTGGCTCAGAGTCAACCTCGATATGGTACTTAATCCGCAAGTCCATTTGATGCTGTGCCCTAGACTATTGTACCCCATGGGGATGGGAGTAATGCCCCTCGCGTCTCGTCCCCACTTCCCCGGGCTTCAATATTCAAGTCGGAAGCTTGCTTCCCGGCGCAATCTTCAAAGACAGATATCCCCGGATCCTGTCCAGTCCCCCTCTTTCCTTGATCCTTTGAATATCCCTGCTACTATTGCTTCAACTAAATCTATTTCCCCAACATGACAAAAACAAGTGGGTATAATGTTGCCGTGGGGCTAATTGTTGCCGTTGGCAGCTTCACATACGGCTTTGGTACTCTCCACTTCGCCACATCCATTCATTCACTCACAATCCCAGGCTTCGCATCCTTTGCAACTAGCATCGGCCAGCCAGGCTTCTTCACCTACTTCAATCTCTCGACAACAGGGCCTGGCGCTGCATACACGAATCACATCCTCGGAGCCGTCAACGCGCTCTTCTTCTTCGGTGCATGCGTAGGAGCACTCGGTGGTGGCCCTTTAGCTGACAAGATCGGACGAAAATGGACACTCCTAGCTGCTTCTGTGGTCGCTGTCATCGGGGGAGCTTTGACAGCGGGGAGTGTGCACATTGCTATGCTGATTATTGTCCGTATTCTCCAGGGATCTGGTCTCGGTGCTTTGGCGACGTTAACCCCGATTTACCTCTCCGAGGCTTCGACGCCTTCGAAGCGAGGAATGCTTACTGGTCTACATGGCTTCTTTCTCGTGTCGGGATACAACATGTCTGCCTGGGTTGGCTTCGGATGTTTCTTCTCAGAGAACCTCACCTTTGGCTGGCGCGGCCCTTTAGCATTTACCTGTATCCCGCCGCTCATCCTGCTCATCGGCTGTTTATGGGTACCAGAATCTCCCCGCTGGCTCCTAACCCAAGGCCGTGTCGATGAAGCATGGACAGTTCTTAGCAGACTCCACAATGACCCGCATGATCCAAACGAAGTCGCCGCGCGCGAGGAGTTCTACCAAATGAGAAAACAGATCGAGTTCGAGGCGACGAATTCGAGCGGGTATATGGCCATCTTCAAAACCCCGGCATATCGAAAGCGAGCGTTTTTGTCGTGCTTTGTGCAGTATGCGGCCAATGCGACTGGGGGTCTGGTCATCAACTACTATTCCGTCATTATCTATGAGAATCTGGGTTTGAAGACGTATATGCCGTTGCTGATGTACTGCATATACACGCTGATTGGCGCTCTGGGGAATTTGTTCTCGCTCCTAACTGTCGATAAAACTGGGAGACGATTCGTAAGACCCCCTCCCTCCCCTGCTCGGCACCAATCACGCACTAATGCTCTACACTCCACTAATCCCCCACCACCAGGCACTTCTGACCGGCTTCACCGGCGTCCTCATTACCGTCGTCATCGAGGCTGCAATGGTAGGCTGCTTCGTGACCGGCTCTAAGCCCAACATCGGCGGCCAAAAAGTTGCCATTGTAGCTATCATGTTCTTCGTGGTAAGTCTAACACCAAACACCAAAAGTGATATGGAATCTCAAAGATAATAAACATTCAAAAGTTCTTCTACGGCCTGTTCATCGATGCAGCATCCTTCATTTACAGCTCCGAAATCTACCCCACGAATATCCGCTCGCCGGGTGTAGCGTTGGCGACGTTCACGTATTTTGCGGCTTGTATTACGTTTGTCACGCCCGGGGCGACAGCAATTGCGAATATTGGATATAAGTATTTTGTTAGTATGTAAGGCCCTGGAGTTCACCGCTCCCCTCCCCTATCTAGTCCCCGTTGTTACCCTGGCTGAAAGATAGTCGATTGATTGCTGACACTGAGTGTCACAGTCTTCGCATGCCTAACATTCGTCTCCGTGGTAGTGATTTACCTCATGTACCCGGAAACCAAAGGCAAGTCATTGGAAGAGCTAGCGGAGTTGTTCGGAGACCCTGTAGTCGTGCATCTCACCGATGCCACCGAGGAGCAGAAGGAGAAGATTGATCAGGAGATAAAGAATGAGCTGTTTGCCGAACATCGAGAAAACTTCAGGGCTTAGATAAGGAAAGGTGTGGGATTAGTAATTCAGGAGATGGTGAGGTGGTTATGTTGTAGAATCTAGGAAGGCGGTGAGGAAGTTGAATTGAAGTTTGCAGCCAGTACGGTGTACGTGGTGTCGTGTCGGGAGCTCATGGGTGTTTCCCCCCTCTCGTGACATGATTACCGCGTGCTACCGGCTTCACATTTGTGGGTCGATCAAGGGGTGTGAGGCAGAAGCGGTGGATCAGCGAGCGCAACCTTACCCATAGGCACGGCTCTCAGACCCAGTTATAAGTGTCCCCTTTTTCTTCCCTTTCTTGATTTCCTCTCCTCGCTGAACGCCTCTGCACGCCAGTTCCAAAATGCTACGGAGAAGAGGATATGGGGATCCACTCCTACGTCTCCCTCCGTACCAAAAAACCACTGTAAACCAAAAATGTCGTCATGTCTAGCTTGGTCTAATCTCATAATTTGACCTCTTCTCTCTCCTCGTCATGGTCTCTCTGGTGCTGTTGGGCCGTTTAAAAAATGATACCCTAGAAGTTGCATGACGAACTCGGCAGCTTTGGAAAAAGATTTGCCTTCTATGTCTCTTATGGCGGAGCTAGCGGCTTTGTTTTCATGGGGAGCGAACAAGCCGAGCTCGCTAGGCATGTAGCTTCCTGTGGCTTTTGGGAAGCGCATCCTTCCGCCCATATGCATTCTAGCTTCTTCTTAAACTAGCGAAATTCATATTCTCTCCACGCATGGCCTAGCTTCCATCTTCCAGCTTTTCAATTTACCATAAAAATGCGGGAAATTAAAAGTGCATGTCTGTTTCCCCCTTCTTCCCTTGCTAACTTTATGAGTCTTGGAAGAATTTTTGGTACATGACCACCTCCTTGCTACTCTGCTGCTATAACCGCAGCCCGGAGACTGGATGGGAGATGGCTATCGTTCTCAGATATAAGCCTTTACCGCAATAGCGGCACGGAAGTCATCATCATTGCATACGAAACGATCCGGGTAGCGTAAGGATTGAGAAATCTTCCCTTAGCCCTACCAGGTCCTTCGGTATTGCGCTGGATACAGACACACTATAAGATATGGAGACTACAACTACATAAGGTAGGAAACCAAGCGAGGGAGGGGATATACGAAAACCGAGCGCTAATAGGCACGATGCAGTCTTGTGTTCTAATTTCAGAAACACCTTCCGCAACAGTCAGTGTCTTCTGTAAATGATATATGAACACACTATCGACCCAACTCTAATCCCCTTGAACCCTTCTAACAATCTCCACCTCCAACTCATCTAACCAATCCTCTTCTTCTTCAACGCCTTCTTTGCACTCCCACAGGTCCCTGTCTTCTTCGGCGGTTCTAACGGTATCCCAATAGCGGGCGTCAAAGGCGTAACCGGCGTCGTAGGCTCTGGCTTCTCAGGCTTCAGCAAATCATGCACATCCTTGAACGTCACCTGAGGAACTTTAATAAACCCCTGCGCCATCAACGCCGGGTCCCATATCTCCATTCCTGGCTCCATAACGATCATTTCTTCTCCCATTTCCCCACCATGCCCGTCCATTCCTCCTTTTTTGCTATCAGCATCGGTTGCGGGTGTGGGTAGAGGTTCAATGGCTTTAGTGTCTAGCTGTGGTTCTGACCAATTTTGGCATTTAAAGGGGGCATCGGGATCGTTTCCGAAGTTGACGCGGACGCGCAGGAAAAGGGAAAAGAGGCCGATGGCGGGGAAGAGGCGACCGCGGATATTGCGAAGGGCAATTGCTGTAGAGACGTTAGCGGCAGAGGAGAACTACGGGGGCGAGAGAAATTCTGTAGCAGTAGAATGCTCGAGGTGAATGCAAATGGCGAGAACCCAAGGAGTGTGAATGGTAACCTACGTAAATGCTTCCCATTCTTCGTGAAGAATATCAGATCTTGCGCCCAATCAAATCCACATCCAATTACGTCACCTTCCCCGTAAATCTCTCTGTACTCCTCAGGCTTGTCATTGAGGACCATGTAGGAAAAGACATCACCCTCCTTGTTTGTACTCTCCCACCCATGCGTATCATACCGAGAATCGCGAGCAGCATTCTTATAAACGAAGCCTACAAACATGCGATGGTCATTATCAGGCACAGCAAGAAACTCGACCTCGAAGTAGTAGATCCTCATCATACTAGGTGCAGGGTGGTTGCTCATGACGCAAGTCCCGATCTTTGGCCACACTAGGGGTTCCTCTTCGGTTGTGTCAGATTTATCCTTCTTCGGTTCCAAAGGTTTCAGGTCCATTTCCTCGGGAAATGTGGAGATTTGGAGTTTTTCTTCCGAGACTTTGAATTTGTGTTCTATGCCTGGCCATTTGAGTGCGGCTGCTTCATCCAGCTCGGTAGGATGCCTGCCCATGGTCCCATAGTCGACCTCCGCACCATCTAGCAGCGCATTAATTTTATAAATTCTCTTCAGCTGCTTTGCTAGAGCTAAAGGAGTCCAGCCGTGATCATCCTCGTCGTCTCTCAACGACTTGTATATGGAGCATATTGGTGTGTTGATCTCCGTCTCGATATCTGCATGTAGCAGAAACGGTTGTCGTGCCACTTCCGGGGCCTTTTCGCAGAGAGTAAGGACGGTGTAGACCATATCCCTCGTTGGTAGCTCGTAGTTTGCACAGTTCGTCCAGCCTCTAATCGCGAGATCGATTGGAGTTAAATCGAAGTTGTTCTTTGCTATAGGGTCTGCGCCAGCTTCAAGGAGGAACAGAGTGCCTTTACAAAAGCTCTTCCCGGCGGCAATATGAAGAGCTGTATCACCTCTTCGATCCTTGATTGGAAGCATCTTGAATGGGTCGCATTTCTCGAGAAGGATCTTGATCATGTCCATGTCCCGGTTCTCCACTGCGCAATGTAAGGGGGTCCAATTCTCCAGTGAGTCCTGCTGTAAGCATTTCTCTTCAAAAATTCCCTTCTCCATAAGGACGTCCACAATATTTTGAAAGATCCCAAGATGTCCAATGTCAACGGCTTGTGCTAGGGCGTCCATTCCAGCCTTGGTCTTCAGTGCCAAATCTGCGCCTGCCTCAATGAGAACTTTGACAGCATCTTCACTTTGAGCATAGATGGCGGCGTGGAGAGCTGTACGACCAAAAACTTCCTCATCATCATCGATGTCAGCACCATGTGACAGTAGGACCTTCACTCCATTCGCATCGCCCACGTTAGCCGCTTCGTAGAGTGGGGCTTGGCTGTCATTATCTTGTTCATTAACATTTGCTCCCCTTGCGATGAGAAGTTCGAGAAGCTCAGTGGGTGGATCTGACCAACGGAAAGCCCAATGCAAGGGAGTCTCGCCAGACAGGTTCTCTTTCGCGTTAATTTCAACCCCATGGTAACTGAGTAGCGTTTCACATAGCTCGTGATCTGACAGCTGGGCAGCAAAATGGAGAGATGTTACTCCATCGTTATCGGCAATGTCTGGCCTCGCACCATGGTCAAGAAGAATCTTGACATCCACATTAAGGCCTCTGTATGATAGGAGCATCAGGAGTGGAGATGCACCGTCATCGTTCAAGACATTAACTTCTGCCCCATTCTCGCACAAAAATTCGATCCCTCGACGCTCTCCGTCACCTGTGCAAGCCAAGTGAAGGGGTGTATCTCCATTTTTCGTTCTTCTCATTCATATCTTATTTCTTTTCCAGAACATATCGCTCCAGAAGGCCCTGAATCCCGTATCGTGCGGCAATATGAAGGGGAGAGTCAAGTTTCTTATATTTTCTCCATGGGTGATTGATTCGGAGCCAACTGAGGTAGGCCTCAGAACCTGGTCGAAGGAATTTTTCCAGGTCATCGTAGAGACTCTTATAGGTTTCTAATTCAACATTCTGTTCTTCTGCGATCTGTTCTAGTTGCCGAAAATGACGGGGCCAATGGGTGAGCTCGTATCTTGCTTTTTCGTTCAGTGGGATGGAATAACCTGTCGAATAGGAACGACTTGCGGGTGCAGACGGCGGGGAAATAAAGATTGACCGTCTAGACCTGCTCACAGCGCTGGCTGGTTTGGAAGGCGGCACCTCATCATTAGGTTGAGCTTGGTGTAGTTCTTGCTCCGATGTATGGGAAACCGGGTCCCTGGTATGTGGTGCCCTCCCGTTCGTTTGCTCTATCTGTGTCAGCCCATTTTGACCATCACCTCTCCCATCGGCCATTGCTTTATCACCTTTTCCTAGGCCTTCAATGATATCTTCCTTTGATGGTATAATATGATCGTCGAGAACATCGGGTATGTTGTCTGGGGAAGATACTTCTTCTTTCGCGCTCGTACCTCTTTCGGGTTCACCCTCCTTCCCAGCCTGAGATAATTTGCTCGAGTGAGTTGATATTGTTTGCCAATCGTCTTCTGGTTCCCCCCACTCCTCCGGTTCCACCCATTCCCGAATTATATGCTCTTTCTGGAAGGCCGGGTTATTCAGTCTCTGGATGATCGTTCGACAAATGATGAGATTTCCTTCCTTGGGACCGGCTTCGTAGGCAATAGTCTCTTGGAATCTTTTTCTACATTCCCCACATCTTTCAATCTCATGCTTGATAGCCTCTTCCTCTGCTAGAACAAAATCTCGAATCGAATTGTGTTGGATTTCTATGAATTGCCCGTCAAATCGCAGAAATTCCCGCCCAGCAGCTTTGAGATCCTTCTCAATATCCCGGGTGGCCCAATTCTGCCCGAATGGGGTTGACTCCCGGGGCACCAGGGCCAAAATGCTTTCCTCCGAATCGGATTCGAAGTCGGCATAGTCACTGGCATCCTCGTCCTCACCGTCCCCACCGAGGTCTTCAGGTTCTTCGACATTTTCCCACCGACATTCAAGTTCATCCGCGATTAAATCTAGGGTGACTTGTCCGGATGAGCACATCAACCACCTGAGAGCTACTATGAGGACTCTGCGTTGATGGGAGTCGAGGGAAGCCATCGATCGGCGATACAATGCATTCATTCCGCTTGGTAGATTGTCTAGCAATTCTGTGAAAGGGGTCATTTTGGCACGTGTTTCGTACAGGCTGTCTAATACAACGTTGGCGTAGCGAAAGCTTCCTTCAGATCTCTCTGCAATCCTCTCGCAAGCCTTCTTCCTCATTGGTGCCGTGAAGCGCTTGATACCCTTGATTCTAGACTTGACATACTTCGCAATCTCTGCTTGTGTTTGATTAGCACTAACTTCAATGTGAAGTGTAACAGGATTTCTCAATCCGTAGAAGATATCTGGCCTGCTTGAAATCATCATATGTACATCCGTTCGATCCGGAAGGTCGAGCAGTGTCTGTAGAAAATCGTCTTCATAATCCTGGCATTCGTCGAGCCCATCAACTAGGACGAAGACATCACTGGCGAAGGCTTTCACAAGCTCTTCGAACATTGGCAGCAATCCTGATTTTAACTGTGCCAAAGATGAATCATGTTTGTCCTCAGATTTGGACTGTTTGTAGGCCTCCTCAACCACTCGGCTGCATTTCTCCTGTAGCTCTGGGGTTGAGCCTGGGTTTCCAGAAGCGGCCTTTTCGTAAAGCTGAATAAGCAAATGGAGAAAAATCCGCTTTCCCATGGAAGTCCACTCATCTCCTTTCCGGCAGAAGAAATAAATGATGTGTGGCCTAGACCTAGACCAGACGCGATCAGGGCTCTCGAGATGTTCAATGATGGCTGACATTAGGAACGACTTCCCGAAGCCACCATTGCCCCACAGCCATGAAAGAGTGCCTCCTGGGGTATCCCGCCAGGCCTCAAAATTTCCTGAGCGGAGCATCCAATCCGCAGAACCAGGGTGGATTTTCTCTTTGTTACCTTTTTGAATGCGGCCGGGTGTAGCAATATCTGTTATCGGCCCAGTTTTGAGCCAGTCCAGCTGATCTTTATATCTTTTCTCAATCGTCTCTCGATGCTGATTGTACTTCGCTTGCTGCTGCTCCGCTTGGATGTTTTTAATACTGGGCGCAATCTCGTTTTGGACAACCTCAGCAACATCGCGAATAAGAGACGCATCGATCCGAATTCCCTGCAGAGCGTCCAGAGCGGCCTCCTGGAACCCAACGTCAGTAGTGTCTTGAAGAGTGCTTCTTTTTCGCTGTGCGTCAGAGTATCTTCCAACTCGACAGATCTCCACGACATGAAAGAACGCGTCAGCTTCCCATGTGCAAAGAGCTTCCGGCTTTGGTAAGAGAACTTCATGACTGCAGCATAAAGTGGCGGGATCTGGGCCAGAACTCGGTCCTTGATCGCCTTGACTGTGTCCACTACATCATTCCTTTTAAGATATCTCTTTTCAAACACACTGCAAAGGAACATGATGTCGGTCATTTGGTCGACTGCATCTGTGAGAAATTCGCAAGTCGCTGCGTCCTTTAGAAATCCGGTAAAAATCATTCGGAAGGCCATCCATACAAGTGACACGGTCTCAGGCGCAGCATCTGGCGGTTGTATCAGCAGAGATCCTCGTTGGCAAAGAGTTATTCGCACTCATGTATGCATCTCCGATTTGCATGAAAACTTCAAGTCTCTTCATTATTCGTCCGAGTTTCAAAGTGATGACAGGCTTCTTGTCCTTCCGCATGGAATGCTCGCCGTATTCTTTTGAAGCCTTGCTACTTGCATGTCGCAGGCTTTCCATGGTTTCTACAAGGGTTGTGGAATCTTTCATTTTCTCGCCCTTAGTGTCGCCCAAATCATCGTAGAAAATTCGTTTTCCCTCCTCCCACAAAGGGCCGGAGATAGTGGTGGGCACACCCATGTTGCGAGGCTATTGTGCTGTTGCCTTATCGCCGTTTCAACGCTTCGGAACGTCTGCGACTAGTATCCATGCCCCACAAAGTGCCATGCTGCGAATTTGATGGAAATTGGAGGCAGTTAACGCTGTAACGAGCTAACGAGCGGGATTCGGGTGCCATTTGTAGTTTGCATGCTTTCAGCCCCCAAGCCATGGAGCGAGGCTATCAGACAAAAGAGCGTGGGGCTATCGCTAAGTTAGGAAAGGTTAGAGCATGAGCAAAGCAAAGCCTTCAGGTGGGCATTCTGTCAGGACTCTATTACACAACGATGAATGAGCATCCAGATCTTGAAGCGAGCATATTGCTGGACCTCGTCTTTGACTCTTAGCATGTGTTTGCAGTGTTCCCTCTTCCAGGTCTCCCAGCTGAAAATGACAATTCTTCCCCATCCCTGCACATCAAGCGATTCGCCTTCGATATCACGGAACCCAGCCACCAATGACGCTGGATAGATTAGGCGGCCTCTCCCGAAGAACCCCAGTCGTCGTGCACAAGGAAGGATCGGCGGTCTATATTTAGTGGATTAAAGTTCTGAATATGTCATAAAGAACAGTGAGTAGATCGATAATATTGGGGTGGTGAGGCTCTATGGACAGCGAGAATTTATTGAGGAGGTCGAGTTTCAGTACGGTGATGTCGAAACCGAGTTGACAAATGACAGCGCTTGAGGGTACCTTCCGCGTGCATGCCTGCAAACTTAGTCGCTGATAAAGCGAAGCATCCACGAGCTTCGATCAATGGACCTTTCCCCATAATTTACGTGCGGCGAAGTTCCATTATGCACTGATGTAGTAACCAGGCCAAGCCACTATCTACTACCTCTTTATGTATCACGGCTGACCCAGAGGCTCCATCATCATCAATACAACACACTTCCGCTGCACCACACACCCAGCCTTACAGATGCCAAACTACTTGTGAGATCATGAATATTGTAAATGACATAGAGGTTGCGATATCCACTCAACCTTGCTTAAGGACGCAGTGTTTAATAAACTCGAAATGACAACTGCGGCGAACGATATTGAACTCACTAAATCTCCAGCACACAATGAATTGAGTAATCGGGAGTCATACGACCATGTACCTCCTGTTGCATCCCGTTCTTTCGCAAAGTATAGGAGGAAATCAGGAGTTTACGCTTGTACCCGGCGATGCAGACTTTTGCAGCGTGGTGTCCAAAGTACCCGATGCAACAGCAACATTCTTGTGGAGACAGGGTTTCAGCTTGCGTGGGCTTGCTGATGTCGACCTCTGTAAGGAGGCGACTATTGAGGGAGTTGGAACTTGTCTCTAGATTTACCTCTTAAGGCTTTCTGCTATCTGACTTCGACCAGCAACTACAGACACTTCACTGTTCCCAATCACAACAGCAGCGTTTGGCGCCATCGCGAACTTCCTCCTCATTACCCTCTTATCTACGCAGGATTTCCTATTTCAGGTGAGTATTCCTCAAGCTGTCTAGGCAATGCAAAGTTAATGAGCATGCCTTTAGGTGGGCATTTCAACTCTTAGTCACAATGTCGACATTATTTGCGAGGCTCACAATCTTCCCTCGTACCGTGCTTTACATCATATTCCAGTGCACCAGAGCGGTAGTGGCAGGATTCATGGTAAGAGGCAGTTTGGGTCAACCTCCAGCTTCATTTCAACTAGTTCCGGGCTGCTGTATTGACCCAACTCTTGTGAGCCCTGGCTAAGTGTATGTATATACTGTCTTCACAAGGTAGTCAGGATCTGCTGACTACTGACAGATATGCCTAGGAAACCATGACTTTGTTTGTATTGATATCGTGGCTTTTAGAGGGGATCAGTTCTTTAAAGCAACATGCAACCTTAGTGTTGGTTTACTGAACTCGATAAGCCTTAATCCACTCCAGAGACAAGTATTCGGCCGAGCTCTTCCACCTATGCTTGGAATGTCGATCTTCTCTGCACAGAGTCCGGCTAAGGTTATGCAGGTGGGACTTGCAATCGGGCTTTGTAGTTTCGCATCCAGCGTTGCAAAATCCGACTATCCTGGTGCCTGTAAGCATAAGCTGTCAGCCTACGCTCGGAAACGAGTAACTTACACGCTCATAGTGTTAAATTCTACTCGCTACCCAAGTCTAATGGCAGCAGCCAGTGAGTGTACTCTGTTTACGAGATTTGCCCGCAGCCTTGACATCGTTTTAGAACGTTTCGAGTATCACTACATCCACTGGTTTGGCGACATCACAGCCGTGCCGTTGAATGGGATCATATATTAGATAATATCGATATACAAGATAGAGAAAATCGAATAGTGGAGCATCCATCTTTTTGAGATTGACAAGGAAGGTTAAGACAGACAATCGCATAATGCAGAAGTACGCACCTACTCACCCTACGTGATGCATGACGAGGGCAGAATCTATCTGTTTCACATCTTGCGAGAATCAGGGAGAGTATCAGCAGGATGCACATTTCTGTCCTTAATTGCCCTTTTAATGTTCCACACTTGGTGATAAGATGCAGAAGGTGGTGCCAAGAGCTATGTCCATATTAAGACTAGCGTCTCGCTTGATCGCGCACTTGCTCCCCGAAATTGAGAAACTTAGAACTTTCGAACGACAGTACAACCTCCCTCGACAACCCTCGACGAAGCCGCCATCATGTCGTCGCCTTCCCTCAACAAAATTGCTGCCAATAGCCCTTCAAGGCAGAACCCGTCCGAGATTGAGACGAGCATCGCTAATGCTCTCTACGACCTGGAGACGAACATCCAGGACATGAGGAGCTCTCTGCGCCCTCTTCAATTTGTCTCCGCTCGCGAGGTAAGATAAAGCACTACCTCCAGCATAGTTCTCCTTAAACCGGTGCGCTCTCGAATCCTCGAAGCCTTCGCACCATACGACGTTGAATATCGAAGAGGCGGTGGGCACTGGGCAGCTTCACAACGCTGACACCAGGATTCTTAGATTGAGGTCGGCCACGGCAGGAAGGCGATTGTCATCTTTGTTCCTGTTCCTCTTCTTCAGGGATGGCATAAGTCTCAGCAACGGTAGGTATTTCAAACTCTGGCTACATTCATCCATTTGCTAACACGGTCCTTCACAGTCTCACCCGTGAGCTTGAGAAGAAGTTCTCCGACCGTCACGTCCTAATCATTGCCTCACGCCGCATTCTGCCGCGTCCCAAGCGTTCCAACCGATCCCGCACTTCACAGACCCAGAAACGGCCGCGATCCCGAACTCTCACCGCTGTTCACGATGCCATCCTTACAGACCTCGTCTACCCCGTCGAGATTGTGGGCAAGCGCCTGAGAACCCGCGAGGATGGCAGCAAGATCCTCAAGGTTGTGCTTGATGAGAAGGAGCGTGGAGGCGTTGACTATAGGTTGGATACCTACTCTGAGGTCTACAAGCGTCTTACTGGCAAGGGTGTCAACTTCGAGTTCCCCCAGAGCCCTGCTACGGAGTACTAGACGGCTGACTGGTCAAACATGGTTCGGGAGTAAGGCTTCAGGCATGCATCTTCTGTACTCGGCATCAAAATGATGAGCCCATAATAGGGCACTCAGATACAAAGTTCTCTACCTTTTGTGCACCCTAGGCCTTTTGACTCATTGACGCTTTTATTCTTGGGCACTGCCCTCTAATGCCGTCACTTCCTTTTGTTCCTCTGCGTACTCCTACTTGCCTGGCCTATCCAGCTCGGGATAATGACGGAAGACGCCGTTGCTATATGGTAGCCTCTTTGCACTCGCTAGATACTCTTTAATACCCTTCTCCTCCTTCACACTGAGATAGAATGTTCCAAAAAGCAGTGGATACTCCTTCTCGATTGCCCCCAGCTCGTTCGGGAACGCATACTTAAGTCCATCAAGCACTTGCCAAAGTGTCGTATCTGCAAAACTCAATTTTCCACCAACGAGATGTTTCCCCTGTCCTTGCCCCTCGTTCCCTTTCAGCACTCGTTCGAAATACCCGAAAAACTTCGGGAGACGATTTTCGCGGAAGTCTTTAGACCTTTTAAGGGCCTCGGGTTTCTGGTCTTCGTAGTATTGTATGCTAGCAATGGGATGATGTGTATCGTGGGTTTCGTTATTCAAGTCCAGCGCCGTCAGCGCATGACTGAGAATCCAGTGCTTCTCAACCTCATCTTCTCCCGCGAGACCGAGCCTGTCGCCGAGGTAACAGAGTATGGTAGGAGTCTGGTATAGCACCAACGTCTTGCCGTGCTTGCCCTCGCCAGGGACTCGTAGGGCAGGAGGAGCGAATGCAGGGGGGTTACCGTCAGAATCGATGATGCAATCGTCGGCTTTGCAGGCTAGTACAGCCTTGATTCCGTCTTTAGTTTCATTAGCTACGTCTTTATAGGATACACCAGAGGCTTCGAAGGCGAGGCGGATGAACTCGCCGCGGCCGGGGATGGCGGGCCAGTAGAGGAGTTCGTATGGAGGGTGCGTGCGGGATTTTTTGGTGGAAGGCTCAGCCATGGTGGTGTAATTGGGGAACAAATTGGGCTTCAAGGGGAGGTACTAGAGTAGAACAGTCAGTTGTCATTGTCGAGGAAATGGAGAAGAGAATGGAGGCTCACGAAGCAGGGCCTAAGTCTGTAAACAATTCGTCGTAATGAGAAATGTGAAAAGGCCAGCTTGGCGTCTGAACATGCACTGAACCTAATTTAAAGATGGGTGAAGATCAATTAAAGCAGGGAGATCAAATCAGGTCAGCCCCCGCCTTTAAACTAAGATGCACGCCCCTTGGGCTCGGCCTCCTCACAAGAATGGTGGGGAGGTTGCCTGCCCGGAGTTTAGGGATTCTTAAACGCCGGGCTCTCTGAGGTTCAAGGGTAGCGCAACTTCAGTGCATTTCGAGGACTGTACACAACGATTAAAATGGTGAAAAGCAATTCGAGAAGATGTTTGCCAATAGCACAGAGTCCTTGAGTGTGTAGGGATCGTTTTAAACGATTCGTTGTGGCGCAGACTTTCACTAAGCGATATGCGCATGAATGGTTAACTGCAACCACACAGACATGCATGCACGTCTTCGTTGGCAGGGAAAGAAGGCTGTTGAACAATGACCTCTCTCAGACGTCCACCTTGCTCATGCTTACTTACTCCATTTTATAGAAAGGTAGGAAGATCAAGGAAATGTGTTGTTCTTATGGCTTCTCCTATTTCCAACATAGTTCTGTTTAGTAAATATCTACCAACATGTATTGCTATAATCTATCAGTTCCCACAATAATTTTTTTTTCTGTAACTACATAGCTGATAGCATTAATCCTACAAAATATATATTAATGCATGTTCTGCCGAGCTTACGTGTTCAAGGACTAAAAATCGTAATATCTAGCGTAAATACTCCTTTCTAACTCTAGACTGGTATTCGATTGTTAATAAATAAGCTTGAGGAATAGAAGAATATATGTACTCTTTTATTTATGTATTTCCACGGAGTTTGCACGTCCAATTTGGTAGGTCTAGTGCATACTAAAATAACCATTCGTGCATTGAGCTATTAAGTAAGCACGTACTAGCAAAGTGTGTCTCAGCTGTTGCCTTACTTGTCGTTGCATCAAGCACGAATACCACCAGAATAATACTCTGCACAAAGTATCATGGCTAGTATTGACATTTTGAATTTGCCCGACTATACAGCCCAGATGAGGAGCTTTCAGCGATCTGATGAGGCTCGACAGAAGCTCTTTGAAGTGAGAGCTCAGCTCCTGCCCTGAGTGTCTCGGAAGCTGACCTTGGTGTAGGATGTCCTCGAAAAGTATGAGAAACTAGTAGAAGAGCATACCAATTTAAAACACGACTATTCGAGTGAGCGAGACGTTCGTCGCAATTACCAGGGCGAGGTCAATCGCATGCATAAGGAGCTTGTCGAGATCCAAAATTCTGTTGTAAGTTTTCTCGGCGCTTGCTCTTGAAAGCACTCACCCATGCTACATAGGACAGCAATTCATTTGTTTTGACTCTTATTGATGGCGATGGTGTCATTGTAAGTCGAGGGCTCTTCCTAATTTTTTAAGTCACATGCCTGACAGCTGGACAGTTCCAAGACATGTTGCTGTTGGCGGGCGCCAATGGGGGCTCTGAGGCGGCCTCCAAGCTCCAGAATGCCATCCGAGAACACATTGTTCAAATCTATCCGAATTCTGGCACCTGGCCAATTATGGTTCATGTATACCTCAGCCTGGATAAGCTATCTCAGACCCTCGCACGAGTTGGGCTTCTCAAGTACCCCCAGGAGATGCGAGCTTTCGCTCAAAACTTCAGCGTCAATCAGCCGTTATTTAGTATTATTGATGTAGGTCAAGGAAAAGAGCGAGCTGACTTCATGATTAAAGGTATGTTCATCTACCAAGTCTTACCATTGTTTACTAAATCTTCTTTCTCTCAGAAATGCTTCGAACGTTCAGCGACAACCCTACGTGCAAGCACATCATCTTCGGAGGTTGCCACGATAATGGCTACCTCCTTAACTTAGACCAATATAAGCATAACCAGGTTAAGGCGGCACGCATCACACTGCTCGAGGCTACAACCCCACAGACTGGCTTCACGGAATTACCCAATTTCAAAAGAACTCGCTTTGATTCAGTCTTCAGGTCGGAGGCCCTCCCTTCAACTAGTACTCAAGGTACTGCTCCTACCTTTTCTCCGGTGCAAACTCAGATCAAGTCTACCACCAAAAGGCCCTCGCCCATAGCTTCTCCCACTCCTGCTAGTGTGACTCCAGCTCCTGTAACCGCATCACCAAGCACTACTGCATCCTCTCTTGCTACTCAATCTTCTGGGTCAGCTCCTGCGTCCTGGGCTATTGTGGGTAAAGCTGGTGGAAGTAATGGAACCATATCAATTGCAGGTTCAAACAAAAATGCTGCGAAGAAGAAATATATATACTTCAACAAAGACGGGTACCGCCTTGATGAGGCACTCCCACCCCGAGACCGTAACGCCTCCGAGGCAATCGAAAAGCGAATGGAGAAGGTGAGCCAGAACAGTACAAACACGTTGAATGATAAGCCAACTCATTGCAGACTGGCCGCAACTTGTGCAATCACTGGCATCTAAACAAAGGATCATGCACCAATGGAAATTTCTGCCGATTCCAGCACGAACCAAAGCTAACTCCTGCGGAATTGGTTGCGTTGCGATATAAGACCCGTTCGTTAGCCTGCAAGCGCCGAGACTGCGATAAGTTTGACTGCTGTAAGAAACCATCTACGCAAGCAAAAATGTCTTAGCTTATGTGTGAACAGACTTGGGTCACCAATGTAGCTACGAGCGTGACAATGGCTATTGTCCTTACGAAACATGCAATCTCAGGGCTTCTCATGGCATAGATAAAGTATGTAGTGTAGAACCATCTCAAATGATTACACTAACGGAGTCTAGACTAAACATGTGAGATACGACGAGGATTGGAATGAGGAATATTCTAAGTAAATATTCCCCATCCCAATACCCTTTTGTCATGCTTGTGCTCGACTATTCCGGGTCTCAACTTCGCTCTAATGTAACAGGAGTGATAATGTTCAACCTTAGATAACTTTCTTTCTGTTCGGTTTATACATGCTCTGATTCGTGGCTTGTTGCCACGGATTTGATCTCGCTCATCAGAGTGGACAGTGCTAGTCAATTTGCGAGAAATTATTTATATAGGGAGGTAGATGTCGAGTGATGGGCAGCTTCCAGGCTCCCGCATCAAGTTTACCTACTCCCACAAGGTTTTAGATGGCTTCATCCATTTTTGAGAAGACCTGTGAGAAATTTAACATTTACGTCATCACCATTGTCACGTCTACATTTCGTTTCAAATTCTTACCAAGTGAATTTCACAACCACGCGCTAATTACTACTGCTCCACGGTGTTTCTTCACCATGTCTTTGTTCCGATACTGAGTACCACAAGATACATCTGATTATATAGGAGAGATCATTCAGATAAGTATTCAGCCAAACCCAAGAGATAAATTCACTGAGTGCGAGCAGCCTACTATATTAGTAAGTTCCGTGGACCGACCTACCCCATCCTTTACTTCTACTCTACCGTCTGCTTTGAATTGGCATTTTTTGTCATCGCTCATCTATCCATCAAGTTTCCTCATCTATCTAATTATTTGAGTGTCTTCGTCAGGCCTTGCCAAAGGCGACTCCATCTTGTCTCCAGGAACCATCTACTCAGCAATGAGATGGGAAAAGAAGTCCTGTAGAAAATATGCCGAGCGCTTTGGATACCGAGTTTTCTTCGGCGAGTCGAAATCAATATAGGTAACCCCAAATCGATCTGTATACCCAGCCGCCCACTCTGTTCAAGGTTAGTTCTTCGAATGAATTTAAATTGGCGAATAAGAGACTAGACTCACCCCAGTTGTCCGTAAAAGTCCAGGCGAAATACGACTGGATATCCACGCCGTCCTCCTTCACTGCCTTTGCCAACTCCCCCACATACCCTCTGAAGAATTCAACGCGGTGTGTATCATTCAAAATCGTATCTGATGGTTCTTTTTCCCCCTTTGCGGTCGTTCCATTCTCGGTCATATAGATGGGGATGTGGTATCGATTCCAAATCCATCGCAACAGCTTCCTAAATCCCCAGGGCGCCGTTCGCAACCACTGCGTATCCGACTCTTCCCCCCGGGACACACCACTTTTGTTCTTGTCAAAGACTTCAATGTTCCCCTTATGGTCGTTAATGTCTGGCGGGCTATCGCGGTGCCGGACGAAGAACGAGGTGTATGTGTTCATGCCATAGAACTCCGAACTCCCTCTTACTAAACGTTTCTCTTCTTCTGTGAAAGTTGGTAAGCGGTCACCTAGTTGAGCCCGCATGCTAGCCGGGTAGTCGCCACTGCCATACAGTGGTTCGGCAAACCAACCGATTTCGAACTCGCGAGCGCGCTCGGCGGCCGCAACGTCTAAGAGATCCGAAATATCCCAAGGTTCGGACCAATTCCCATGCAGGGTGATGCCAATTGTGCCTTTTTGCGTAGGTTGAAACTCTTGTTTATAGAGTTTTGCTGCAAGACCATGGGTTACGAGCTCAGTGTGTGCAACGATGAACGGCTCTGTGGAGCTATCGCCTTCAGCGTTGCGATCGCGGAACGAAGACCGACCTGGAGCATGGACGCCTGCTGCATAGCCTGCTAAAGTATAAACCCCGGGTTCGTTGTACGTGATCCAATGTTTGATTCTATCCCCGAAGCGCGAGAAACACAGTCTCGCATAGCGCAGGAAATCCGGGGTATATCTTTCTTGGTTCAACATACCCAAGTACCTGTCTTCTAATGTTTGAGGAATATCCCAATGGAACAGGGTGACGAACGGTGTGATGCCGTTTGCGAGAAGCTCGTCGATCAGGTCACTGTAGTATTTTATACCCTCTTCATTCACGGGATCATCGGCGCCTCCAAGTGGGATAATCCGTGACCAGGCCAGCGAAAATCGATACGCGGTAACTCCATAGCTTTTCATTAATGCTACGTCTTGTTTGTAGAAGTCATATGATCGACAGCTATCATCGTTTGTAGAGCTATCTTTGATTTTGCCGGGGATATGACAGAAGGTGTCCCAACATGAAAGACCTTTCCCGTGTGTGAATGCAGCCCCTTCGACCTGTGCGGCTGCGGTTGCGAAACCCCAGTGGAAGTCTGGTCGTAAGGATGATTTGAGATATCTTTCTTCAGGGGTGTCGAATGAGTGTGTCCACGAGGGATTTCGAGTTGGTGGATTTTGAGTTTGGGGGGAAATCATCTTTGTTGGCTTAAGAGTGGTGAAGAAACCTTCCAGTTTAGCCCTAATATGAAAGGATTTGTTTTCAAACTTATTAGCATAGTTGAGGTTCGAATCATATCACATGCTTCCTTTGATCTTCGGGTAACCTTGGCGTTTACTCCATGCCTAAGTCTACGGACTAATACATGGTCTCGGTATGACATCCCCCGAACGCTGGTCCAGCTCCGACCTCACCTCCTTCTCCCCGCAAAAACGCTAGATCTAACGATCCCGAGCTCCAGACACCGCATCTTCGGTCCGTTGGCTACTCCCACCACCCCGGAAAGACCGGCTCTAGTACCACTTTTATCCTCTCCGGCCTCAATTCCGGCCAAGCCTCTCCCACAACCCGTTTCATCTCACGATACAGCACTCTATATCCCTCACCACTCAGATGCAGCCCATCATACAACATCATTTTCAATCCAACATTACTCTCCAACCTCCTATCCCCAGGCAACAAGTCCACACCCTTGCCCTCATTTTCCACCCATCCAATCTCCCCCATAATTGCGCCCCAAAGATCCACAACTTCCGCCACCATTCCTCCCGCTTTCCCAATCCTTACACCCTCTTTCACCGCTTCCGCATATAATCTCGTGACACCGGCTTTCCGCACCGGATTTCCGGGCTCACCAGAATCGTCGAATTGCCATTCGTCAACAGGTGGTGGGGTGATTAGCAAAACCTTAATATTCGCATGTGCCTGCACGAGCGGATGCATGATGAGATTCTCGAGGTTGGAGATGTAGTTTTCAACTGGGACATGTTGATCGCTTGTACCAGGGATACAGGCATCGTTTGCACCGAAGAAGAGCGTGAGTAGTCGGATGGTGGCTTGTTCGGGAGAGGGGAGAATGATTGGGAGGATGGTTAGGGCGTTGGAAGTGTTGTAGCCGCTTGAGGGGAAGGGGAAGGGTTAGTATACGTAAGCAGCTTGGTGCTGTAGTAGATTAGGAGGAGGGGATATGGGTACCTAAAGCCGCGGTTTATAATGTCAACTCGTCGAATGTAGTCTATTGCATACACATGATTAACTTCTAGTCTTTGAGTTCGATGAGAGGAATACTACCGTGTTGAAGTGCCTGGATGCAACTGAAGTCTAACTCGGGATTCCCATCAATCTGCGTGATAGAATCTCCGAAGAGTATGAATTGAGGATACAATAACTTGAGAGTGCGGGGATACTGAGACGATGCTTGCAGAGTTGGAGCGCATGTACCAGATTTTGGAGTCTTCTCAACACTCATATTGCTGCAGTTGGTCATGTAATGTGGAAAGAGAAGAGGAGTGGTAATATTTCTTTGAACGCTTGCCCATGAACCCCTGCACATGTGGGGAAATACGAACAAGGTAGTACAACTCGTCCGCTTCAAGCCAAACACCAAACACTCCCGGAACCATCAGCTTCCACTCTCCTTCCCTCATTCTGACTCCCACTCCCAACCTCATGAAAACAAACCACCGCCTTCCGCTCTCCAAACACCCTCTTTGCAAAAACTGGCTCCAAAATCATACCATCCTGCCACTCAAACCCAACCTCCCAACCCCCTCTCACCCTTACACCCTTCACCTTCCCGGACCTCCACTCCGAAGGACAAGATGGTAACAGTCTGATTAACACCGCCTTTTCTCTCTTCTCTCCTCTCTTCTCCCCAATCTCGACTTCCTCATGAGACTGCACAAGACACTCTAAAATCCCCGCCGCTCCGCCAAAATTCCCATCGATCTGGAATGGCGGATGCGTGTCTAGCATATTAGGCAATGTACTATCTCTCAGCAGCGCCTCGATATTGACAGCACATTGCTTAGGGTCCCGTAGCCTTGCCCAGAGACATACAAGCCACGCACGACTCCAGCCCGTGTGGCCGCCACCGTGTTGTGTGCGGCGAAGCAGCGTGCTGCGTGCAGCAGCAGCAAGAGTAGGTGTCGCGGTCGGGGTAATCGTGCGTCCAGGGTAGAGCGGGAATAGGTGTGAGGTGTGGCGGTGTCCGGGTTCGGATTCGATGTAGTCATTGCAGCCCCACTCTTGGATCATGGATGTGGTTGGGCTGATGAAGAGAGGTGGAAGGCGCTGCAGTGCGGATTTGGCGTCGGTAAGAAAGGCAGGCGACAGTTTGGAAGGGTTCTTTATGCGGAGTAGTTCGTCGGAGAGGAAGAGGTAGTCGGATAATACGGCCTTGATTATTTCGATGTCCACGGTTGAACCTTCGCAGAACACACCCGTCTCGTTGCCATCACCGTGGCCCGTCGCGAATCGATTTTCAGGAGACATTGAAGGGCTTGTGACCAAATATCTTCCCTCCTTATCTTCAATCAAAAAATCAAGCAAAAATCGCACACATCCCTCTAGCACAGGAAACATCCATCCCAGGAACCTCTTATTCCCCGTGTACTGATAGTGCTCTGTAATATGCGTACACAGCCACGCACCTCCAAGCGGCCACAACGACGCCGGCATCCACTGATCCTGAGTATCTGTGTCCGCCCAGATATCCGTATTATGATGTGCACACCAGCCCCGACATGAGTACATAGTCCTCGCTGTTTTTTCGCCTCGGACGGCCATTCGCTCGAGGAGGGCGAATAGCGGCAGTTCGCATTCTGAGAGGTTGCTGGTGTGAACGGGCCAGTAGTTCATCTGCAGATTGATGTTGAGGGTGTATTTTGCGCCCCAGGGCGGTTGGAAGAATGGGTTCCAGATGCCTTGGAGGGTGGCGGGTAAGGCGCCGGAGTAGGAGCGGCTGCTTGATAGGAGAAGGTAGCGGGAGTAGGAATGGTAGAGGGAGATGAGACCAGGGTCATGTTGGTGGGCGAGGCGTTCGTCGGTGTGTTTGTCCGATGCGGAGGGATAGAGTTGGATGCCCATCCGGTTATATAACTGACTCCAGTCTGTGATATGTCGCTCCCATAGCGATGAGCCTGAGTGGCGAAGCGCACCGTCGACGTCCTTCAGTGCAGCGTCTTCTGGGTCAGGATGCCGATATGTGGTATGAGCAGCGAGGACAACAACAGTGTCGCTTGAAGTAACCTGTAGCGAACGTCCGACGACTTCAATCTCCCCTTCATCCTCACACTGAGCTCCTGTAACTAGACAAAGCCGATTACTCCCTTTGCCACCTGGAGTCGCGTGCAGAATGATTCTTCCATCTCTAGCGGTAATCGAGTCTAGGAACTCGTTGGTTTCCCACTCCACATCACTCATCCGCGTCAAACTGACCACGAAAGTGACTTTACAGTCTGCCTTAATGCGGATTGCGATGACATTATCCACAAACGTCGCTATGGCCTCTCTGCGAATCTTGTTCCCACCAACACTATACTCAACCCTCGCAACCCCAGTCCCAAGATCCAAACTCCTCTCATAGCCCTTGACGTCAATTCCATCACCCTCAAAATCAACCTTACAAATCCCCGCCGGCTCTGAATGCCTCATACTCCTCGGGGTCGCCAAAAACCTCTTCCTTACCAACTCCTCCACCTCCCCATATCTGCCCCTCCTAACACCCTCCCGAAACTTGGCAAGATAGCGTGAAGCATCGACAGGTGTTCGGTCCATAGGCCCGCCATACCACACACTTTCTTCATTCAGACGCAGCGTCTCGGCGCCAAGACCGCCAAAGAGCATAGCTCCCAGTCGACCATTGCCGAGGGGCAGGGCTTCGGACCAGGATTGTGCGGGAGTGGCGTAGTGGAGCATGGGCATAGAGGCGGGGAATATTTCTAGTATGGGGTTGATGTGGGTTAAAAACGGTGTTCGGTTATTCTGGTTGGCGGAAGAATTTCGAAGTACTTGAGTGGATGGTGGGATCAGATGTACCGACTACGCGGGAACCTGGAGAATGCGGTAGCGAGAAGGGAAGTAAGGTTAGCGTTCTAGTGATCTGTTCTGGAATTCGTGGGTTGAGGAGAGGAGAGGAGGGCGTTTGTACGGTCGTTAGAAGCCTGATGTTGGGTTGGGTATGGGTGGCTTCTTTATATATTCCGTGGGATGTTTTCAGGGCGGATACTTTTCGTCCTGAGAACTTTGTCTATATTTGTCGTGTAAAGCTTCGAAATTAGACTGCTGGTATCTGGCTGGGCGCTGTCGATTTCTTCATCAAGTCCCTCATATATCTTTATCGAGCCCTACACATCCCCAACGACGACGCGGCTCAACATCTACCCATCATGGCAACCCAAGACAAGTCCACTAGATCCTTCCACCATGACCTCCCCCCAGAGAAAGCCCAAATCATCGACGTCGAAGAAATCGTCGTGACCCGCATCACGGAAGAAGACCTAATGCGTGTCTCCCGCTCCTCCATGACCTTCTTCTCTCGCGCCGGCTTCCGCCTCTGTCTCATCATGTTCGTGCAAGGCTGCAACCAAGCGGGATACGGCGTAGACTGGGCCGTGATCGGTAACATCAACGCCTTCAAGTCCTGGCACGCCTACTTTGGCTTCGGCACCAGCGGCAGCACATACGGAACCATTAACGCGCTCATGCGAATCGGGACGGTCTGTGGCGCGCCGTTTCTCGCACTTGCGGACATCATCGGTCGACGTGGAATTAATTTTCTAGGGAACTTTATTGTGCTGGTTGCTGCGCTGTTGCAGGGGCTTGCGGTTAATTTGCCAATGTTCATGGCAGGGCGTTTTTTTCTAGGGTTTGGGAGTGCGTTGATGTCGAGTCCGCAGTATATGGCCGAAGTGGCGCCTGTCCATATGCGTGGAAGGCTTGTTGGGATCTTTGGCGCGTGTTTCCAGATTGGGAGTGTTGCGATGAATGCGGCTATGATTGGGTTCTCGACGATGGGGAACGATTGGGCGTGGCGAATCCCTTTGATCCTCGAAGCAGTGTTTCCGTTTATCGTCTGCTCGACGATATACTTCCTCACACCGGAATCGCCGCGTTACTTGGTCCTCCGTGGCAAGAATGAAGAGGCGAAGAAAGTCATCGCAGAGTATCAAACGACGTCCGGCTCGACGGACGAACCCATTGTCGGCCTCATTATGGCACAAATCGAAGAATCCCTGGAAACATCTCGCACGGGCTTCCGACAATCCTGGAACTTCGCAGTCTTCTTCACCAAAGTCGTACGCTATCGCTTGCTCGTCCTGATCTTGTATTCGTGCTTCCAGTCCTGGAACGGCGGCGGCATTGTGTCGTACTACCTTACCCCCGCGCTCGAGACGGTTGGCGTCACCAAGGCAATCGACCAGCTTGGAATCTCGCTCGGCCTGACGGCTGTATATTTCGTTTTCACGGCGGTTGGCGCTTGGTTCGTCGACATGTTCAAGCGTCGTACGCTTATCTTCGCGGGACTCGTCGCAGTGATTGCAATGCAAACTGCCGCCACGATAACGTCCTGGCAGTACAGCGAAACCGGCAGTAAGGCCACATCGGCATTGACTATAATGTGGATGTTCATGTTCCAAGTCTTCTCCGCGCTCTTCATCGCCACCATGCATAACCTCTACCCTGTGGAGATCCTCTCCCTGCCATTGAGGGCTAAGGGTATGGGATTGTATGGCTTGATTCAGGGCGCTGCCGGGACAGTCGAGGCGTATGGTATTTCCGTCGGCATCAGCAAGATTGGTTACAAGATCTGGTGTGTGTATATTGTGTATAATGTGCTGCAGCTGATCGCGTCGTATTTTATTTTCCCAGAGACGAGTAAGCTCAGCTTGGAGGAAATCGATGCAGTGTTTGAGACTCCGGGGGTGCATCCAGTGAAGATGAGTAAGTCGATTCAGAGAGCGAAGAAGGAGAGGGCGCGGCTGTTGGATGAGGAGGAACACGAGGACTAAGGGTCCTGGAAGAAAGTTCCTGGAAGTGCGAAGCGGTAGGGGAGTGTTGGTTGAGCGCTGGGTGCTCTATAGCTTTCGAATGACTGTATTGTTTCCAAATAAGCAAGTATTCGGCGGAAGTGTATTTCAAAATTTCGCCTGGGTAATATTACCTCCACTGCTACGCTATTTGCCCTGCGGCTGAAGAGAACTCGTTCCGATTATTTTATGTAGCGCTCGACACATCTCCATACCTTGTTGCCACGTCTTATGATACAAATGCTATACAACTCCCCTTCTTTATACCCACTCTTTAGGCTTCTTTAACACCTCCAATAGCCTCTCCTCCCTCGAACCCTTCTCGGGAGAATGCATGTACTGCCACCTCGCCGTAAGCGGCAGACTCATAAGTATGCTCTCGACCCTCGACCCCGGAGTATTCAATCCGAAAGCCGTGCCTCTGTCATGCACGAGATTGAATTCGACATACCTCCCTCTCCTTATCTGCTGCCATTGCTTCTCGCGCTCTGTGAACGGCATGTTCTTGCGGCGGTTGATAATAGGTACGTATGAAGGTAGGAATGCGGATAGGCAGTCTTGCGCGAAGGCGAAGAGCTGCTCCTGGTCTTTTTCCGTTTCATCGAGGTCGTCGAAGAAGATTCCGCCAATACCACGGGACTCGCCTCGGTGCTTGTTGTTGAAGTATTCGTCACACCATTTCTTGAAGCGTGGGTAGTAGGATTTGTCATGCTTGTCGCAGGCCGCTTTGATGGTCTTGTGGAAGTGTATTGCGTCTTCGTCGAATAGATAGCATGGCGTTAGATCACATCCACCGCCGTACCACCATGCATTTGTCTTCCCATTCTCATCCGCAGTCTCGAAGTAGCGATAGTTGAGATGGACTGTCGGCGCCATGGGATTGCTCGGATGCAACACCATGCTCAACCCCGCAGCAAAAAATTCCACCGACTCGACATCCGGATCCAACGCCTTATGATTGACCCTCATTTTCTGTATCGCAGCTCTCGGAAGCCTTCCATACACGACCGAAGTATTCACTCCCGCTTTCTCAAACACATTACCGTCCTGCAGAACGCAGGTTATGCCGCCACCACCCTCTGGTCGCTGCCAGGTATCGACTTGGAATTTCTGGCCGTCCACTTTCTCCAGTCCAGCGACAATCTGCTTTTGGTGTTGCTTGATGAATTTTTCCATACGCAAGCGCATAGGCGATTGTTCCGTGACGTCACCTCCGCGTTTAAGAAGGGCGTCTTTTTCAGCGATGGTGGGGGATTCAGTTTTGGTTATTTCGCCCGTCATCTATCCACCGATTAGCCACCATCCTAGAGATCGGGAGGAGTTTGGTGAGAAGCTTGCCATTGAATAGATGATCAACCCAGTGAAGGGCACGCCCAGAAACAGCCGTATTCTGTTTGGCCATGGCGAATGCTTTGGTTCACGCCATGCCTTCAATGGGTCTGAGTTCTGCGGCTTGTTCGATATGCCTCGTTTCGCATTGAAGAAATCGGCAGCCAGACGTCTTCGTGGAGTCGATGTGAAGCTACGGTGAGCTCCAAAGAACTGAGGAATACGGAGGGAAGGCCTCAATGGCGCCATTTCCATCTAATTGCTGGCCAGGAGGCCACGTCGTTGGGCGAGGTGCGGAGGAGGGCTGAGACAGGACAGGACGAGCTACGGGCGACACATGGGTGCGGGAAGAAAGAGGATAGAGCAATTGATCGGGTAGAAAAGGCTTTATAAAGGTAAACGTAACGTGGAACTACTAGGGTTTACTTTCGCGAGTTTGTTGCTTGCGACATCACACCACGGTGGGAACATGTGTTCAGGTACCGGCGGTGGTTTCCGAAAAGTGCAAACAAAGCAAACATGCCCCATGCGCAAAGCCTTCACTCAGATTACCTAGGTCGGTAATTATCCAGAATGGCCGTCATGGAGTAGGAGCACGGACTGAGGAATGGATTCAGTACTTTCGTCTTCGAATTGCTGATTGAGGCCGAAAGAGCCTTACTGGAACTCAATGCGGGGCCGTGGCATTGCATGGCTAGGGATGTTGAATAACATCCAAAGGTAGCTCATTTCTAAGCGCCTGCTAGCTTAATAGCTTTCCAGTATAATTCCAGATGAGCAAGGCCATGTACATGGGCATTATTTCGATATGATTAAGTTAATGCCATTTGCCATTCCTCTCACCAGTTCATTCAGTTCAAGGACGAGGCGAGTAAGGTCAGGGCGAGATTACAAAGGGGAGAAATGCAAGAGACTCTTGGGACCAGAAGGCCATACTAGCGAGTAAGATCCTCCCTTGTCATACAATTGGATGGGAGATCAGGTACCGCCCGAGAAAAGATAAAGAACAAGCCTTCCATCTTTTGATCTATAAGGGCGTGAGCGAAATAGGATTTGCCTAATCTTTGAGCCCTGCCAAGACATATGCCCACGTGATGGTATTACTTCTGAAGCCCGAGGCAGGCTCCGTCACAATCGTTGAGACGATGGCCTATCACAAAGATGGGCGCCGACAAACGGACGTTTACGAGGTCTCGAAGTTTGTGAGTCAAACAGTCATGGGAGACGATCGCAAGTGACCTGGGGAGGCGTGGAGGCTGGGTCAGCACAGCCATACAAAGCGGAGTCACTTCGTATGGGCGATAATCAGACAAGGGCGGTGCAATGAATGACGACGGCCAGGCCACGGCCCTGTTTGACAGTTATTAAGCGCTGTTCTGCGCAGAAGTGCAGGTGGTTGTGTGAGTCTGTCTGCAAACTATCCGTAGGCGGAGGTTTTGGTCCATAAGCTCCGATTCACGTCCCCGCCTCAAACTGCCTGCCCACTGCTGCCTGCCACTACATAAGACCTTCTCACCGCTGAATACCCTCTCTCCTCCACACATCTCCTGCCACCACACACAGCGCTCCAACTCCGCGACAACCCATATCGCATCCTCAATACACTTAGACTTCGAACCAACTCAACAACATCACCAACAAAATGCGCTCCAAATTCAAAGACGAGCACCCGTTCGAGAAGCGCAAGGCGGAGGCCGAGCGTATTCGACAGAAGTACAACGACCGCATCCCAGTACGTCTTCTTCCCTTTACCTGCCATCAGAACACGTCGCGCCTCTATCGCAGCATCCGCTAACTAGGCTCCAGGTTATCTGCGAGAAAGTGGAAAAGTCGGATATTGCGACAATCGATAAGAAGAAGTACCTTGTACCCGCCGACCTCACCGTAGGCCAGTTCGTCTATGTCATCCGCAAGCGGATCAAGCTCTCTCCCGAAAAGGCCATCTTCATCTTCGTCGACGAGGTGCTTCCACCAACGGCTGCGCTGATGAGCTCCATCTATGAGGAGCACAAGGATGAAGACGGATTCCTGTACATCACGTATGTCACGCACCCTTCAAACCCTTTTGACGAAACCGTCGCTAACGGTATTACAGATACTCCGGCGAGAACACGTTCGGCGAGTCGATGTAAACTGCAACTTCCTCAGTTCCGCCCTCTCCTATTCTTTGATCTCTCGAGGGCGCGGTGACCTGCACGGGCGTTTCGGTTTCTCCAAGGCTTCCACTTTCTTCATATCCCACAAACAACACAACATTCTCGACGGCTTACATGACTCGGACACGATGGATGCACACACAGGAGCGCGAGTACGGGTGGCTCGGGACTTGATTTCAAATCCAGCGGCGAGGCAAACCTTCTGGATTTGATAATTGATTCGAGCGAATATTCACGGACGACAGACGACTCACGCGGCACGTAATGCATGCAAGGGCAGCGGAGAGGCCTATGTAGGTGCTGGATGGCCAGCGGGGAGATGGTTAGGTGGATGATGGGGTACTGCTTTCATCCTCTTCTCTTTACCTGCGTTGCTCTGTAGTTTGCCTTTGCCCTGAATGAACCAACGGATTTAGTCCGAGAAGATGTTTTTGCTGTGACGACCTTTGCTAACCAACCGACAAAGTGCGAGCGAGGGAGGTACCTTGGGGTTGACCCGACAGCGTGATTTGCGGCTCTGAAACCTGCATGACGACATGCCCATGACCCCTCCAGTCACTCACTCAAGTCAAGCGCAGCGCAAGACACGACCGAAACCAGCAGGCAGCTCTTCCTTTCCTTTCTCGATGGACAAGTCACTCATCGAAATTGGGCTGAAATTTGCAGAGCCTTGACCGCCCTTCCGTGAGACTGTCTCAGCTGGTGGGCAGTCGTACCTGCGTGGGAAGGGCTAGTGGGCTGCCGCTTGGCGAGCCCCAACAGACTCGGCGGATTGCTTGAGGAGGAAGCTCCGATCTTTCCTGAGCGAAGAAAGAGAAAAGCTTCCTCAACTTCACGGAACGCGATTGAAGCGCTACAAATCGGGAACGAACTGGAATTCCATTCAAGCCCCGTTTCCGAACTGAAAGAGAAGGAGGCATTCGTTTCTAAGCATTTGCCGACAACGCTTTTCGAACACACTGGACATCTTCGTCGAGAGCGAGCCTCAAGTTAGGGGTCCAATATGGCATACAAATATATAATATCCAAGTCCGCCCTTCCTTTCCTTCTCCCAAAGCTTGTCTAGCTCGTATGCAACATCTCACTTGCCCCCGGTCCAGGCCCTTCCTCCCACTCCCATTCTCTTTGTTGCAGCTTCACCGCGCGCAGTCTGTTCGATCTCCCCTCCCTCCACTAGACCTACACCCCTCTCTAACACTGCCGCTCCATAGGTCTCTAGACCCCATCTTCGCAATCGCAATAGGCACCGCTGCGGCTTGGACTCGCATTAGTCGGGAAGAGAATGAGAAGGGACGGGATATGACAAAGACGATTGAGGTGGTGAAGAGGAGGGTTGATATTGCTTGGAATGGGGCTGGGGGGAGAAGCCGGAAAGGGAAGGAGGAAGACCATGAAGAAGGGAAGGCGTGGGAGGGCTAAGGCCCCATGAAGGGGTTTGGTTAAGAAGGCAGGTGGGGAATGGTGAGGGGTAACAGTAGGATGTTAGGAGTGGGGTGGGATTAGGAGGGGTGACGGTGAATTGCGGGCGTTAGGTAGGGGATGTGAGACTCGGGAGACAGTAGGGTGCCATGAGTGCTTCCGTGACGGATGTGGCGCCGACGATGGACGCCACTTTTGAGGGCCGAGTCCCAGAGGAGACTGAGCATTCACACAAGGCCACTAGGGAGAGAGAAGGCAAAAAATGAGATACCCATTCGATCACTTGTATACCAAATTGTCACGTGCAATGGGATATAGAAGGCTGAAACGGTCACGTCGAGCGCTAAGAAGAGACGAAAGGAAATGAAGATCCTTTCGACTGCCGCATGGATTCGGAAATATATCTCACCAGCCAACTCCTGCCTCCCGAAACTCGTGCCTAGTATATTCACTATCACATCCACCCTCCAGGCGACTGCTCAAGTCCCTCCGGCCAGCGACTCCATTCCATGAAGAAGTCCGAGTCCGAGTCCGGGTCGAACACATATATCCCTATCCTTGCCTTTAAATTCTCTTCATGTTACGGACGATGACTTGCCCTCGGCATTGACTCCGAGCCCATGCAATGTTGGCAGGCTTCTTTCCGCTTCTGCAGAACCAAAGCAGTCATCAAAAGTCTTGTTACCCATTTGTAGTCCCTTCACAGCCAGGAGTAATAGCAAAGCAGCCGACAGGTACAGGAGGAAGAGTGTATTTACTAAATTCGAGTTTCGAGCGGGAACTGGGGGACTGGTGCATCTCCGCGCTTCTGGGCACTCCCAGAGCAACGCTCCACCAAATATAAGGTCCTATTGGATTGATTTAATTCCGAATCAGGCCGTGTACCCACGCGAGCAAATATTATTCAGTGGGTGCGGCTACGAAGTTGGCATCCTATGCTGCAAAATGCTGCTTTATTCTCAGGCCTCGAAGTAAAGAACGCTGGTGCAGAGGCAGGCGAAGAGCCGTGAGGAGTATCAACTGAGGTTTTATACCTAGGGATATGGACCCTCGGTTGTATGATTTTGGTTCCTGAAACCCAGACCAGGGATAGGAGATAGGGAGTTCACGGCGCTCCGAGACGGAAGAAGTGCCATACGAACACGCAGCTCTCTATTGTAGCCCATGGGACCATATAGGATTTCAGAAACACGTTTTTAGTTCTTGATACCCAGACCAGAGTTGAGAAGTGATGGGTGAAGGATTGACGGTGCCATGAGGTAGAAGGAAATATATACTCCCAAGTGGGCCAGCAACTTGTGTGTTCTTCCCTCCTTTCACGAGATTCCTTCCCTCCTCTGCTCATAGCAAGCTGAAGATGCAATCTTTCCTTGTCTCCACATTTCTAATTCTCCTACTCAATATCTTCTCGTCAAAGTTAGAAACCCTCAAAATTTCTTAGCGATCGAGAATCTTCCTCAGCAGAACAGATCTCACGCCTCGACTCATAGTATTCATCCTCCACTTTTTACACCCCGGCGGAGGATTTTGCAGGCCATGCAAGCAGAACATCCGCCTTTCTTGTTTCATACCCAAGATTCCATGGAATGTGCAATTACTATCTTTTTTTCGTTCTCACTCCAATTCATGTGAATTTTAACTGTCCCCTTTTATTTCTCAAGCATAGTGTGCCATCATTTCCCAACTACATTTACATTCTCTTTCAAGAAAGTCATCTCATTAGACATCATAGTTATTCAGGTCTCTAGGCTCGTTGGCCCAAGTTAATCACTGTGGGAGATATTCGACAATAGAGGCACTGTTCTCCGCCATATATCCCTCTGCTGCATGTTTTTTCTTCTGAGAAGCTCATGAACTCGATGCTTTTGAAGTTTGAAGTCTCGCCCCTCCGCCGCGTCAAAGCCTGACAGTGATTATGTTATACCGGACAAGCAAGTCGGGGGATTTACACTTTCCTGGGCACTTTTCCACCGACGCAGATGCAGCAGTCCCATTCCCTCTGCACACATTAATAGCATCACGATGACCTCAACTGCCCTTATCAAGATTAGCCTACACATTATTAAAGCAGTCGTGTTCGGGTCGGATTGCACCGTCATCGCCACTCTCCTACTAGCAACATTAAGCAACTCCAGATATAGAACCTAGTTGGTCTGAGAAAATTTCCTCCTCAGATCTCACATACCAGCCATGCTGCCGTTCCTCTTAGAATTTTGGTCACACCCAACCTACTCATTCTCATTCTTAGATAGAGAATCCTCTATTGACCTGTGACTTAATCTTCAATTTCTAATCCCTACAACTCCCCAATCTCGACCAAAGGCCACCATAAAGAGCTCCAAATCGGCCTTTTATTCTGCAGAGAAACAAAGGTGTTAGGTGGAAATTGTTTTGTGACACCAGTCCGTGAGATTAGCATCATGTCCTCCCAAAACTGCTAGAGTTGAACCGCCGCCATGGCAAGGCACGCCGGTAATTTTTAGCGTACAGAAAAACATGGCAGAACGTATAGTGACCATTTAGAAACAAGGGTCCTTTTTATGAAGAATGTCTCTTTTTAATATCTGGGAGTTCCAGGGCAGGCGTCCGGCGAAACCAGAACCTAGCAGAATAGTCTTTTCCAGCATACGGGTCCAAAGGAAACGAGTTTGAGAATCGTGAGTTTTATACCTGGACACGCATCGGGCGCGTTGCTGTCTTTAGATTCCCACAGTACCAGAGGCAGAAAGCCAGCAAAAGAGTATTGTGGGATGGGTTTTTATTCCGCAGAGCAGCGTGAGACTGTTTCAGCGTTGTATTTTTCGTCCGCAGGTCTGAAGAACTTACAGCCGAAAGTCGTCAGTTTTATTCCCCAGACACCCATGATAGATCAATCTCCTCGCCTTTGGTCCTACAAGATCCCGCAGCCACTATGATCCAATCTTCTTCGTTCTTTAGCTCGCAGAGCAGCATCTCTTTATAATGGGACTAGTCGACGGGGATCCATAGGGCCAGTCCGACCAGACGGTATCGGTGTGGCCGCCAAAGGCATTTCCAGTACCCCGGTCCCTGTATCGACGTCCATCTCTTATTAACCTCTTAGATCCACAGCCACCTTGTTGAGGCTTTCCATAGAATTTTCGTCTATGGAGAACAATGTATGGCTGGGCCTCCAAAATTTTAATCCAGTGTAAACCCACCAGTTTTCAGTGCCATAGAGCCATGCGTCACTTTTATTCTTGTACCTAATCTCCGAAGGTCCAGGTCTCACAGCCACCATTATCAACGCCACAGAGCAACAACACATGGGATTTTATCACATCTCCCCATGCACCACTAGCAATATATCACCGCACAAACTCTTTTCAAAATTCTGGGCATGAATCCGCTTTTCCATTGCTGTCTTCTCATCGCCAGACCGGAGTCACATCATACCACACACATACTCACACATCACACAGAGACTTCTTCATCTTCCTCCAACCATCCTGGATCTTCTCTTCATCCTCCTACGCCTAGCACTTATCACAACCTCCCCTTCACCTCCCCACACCGTCACCTTAGATACCCGTTCGCCCCCAGCCACTCCCTAACCACTTTCTCATCCCTAACCCTGAACTTCGCATGTCCCCTAATTGTATCATCGATAACCGCCAATCCTTTATCAAATCCCCTAGTCTCCATGCCTTCCCTCTCAAAAAAGCCCTTAATCTCATCCGCCACCTGCTCATCGGCATACTTGTTCAACCCGAACCTTAAAAACCGTTCCAAAACCACCATATTCCCGGACAGAGTCTTGAACACCAAGTCCCAGTTATCGCGGATAAAGTGCCAGACTTCAATACGGACTGTGGAGTTTGAGGAGAGCGCGATGGTGCCAGAGTGCTTGTCTTGCATGGCAACTTTGTCTGAGAAGATGAAGGAGAGGAAGTCGCGTGCGAGTGCAGGGTCTTGTACGCGTCCGAGAGATTGGAGACAGATTTCTTTGCCGTCGATTGATGTTGCGTTGAAATACTCGTTTTTAACAGCGTTGTAAGCTGTCTCGCCACCATTCTTTACTGCAGTTGAGAAAATGGCTCGACGAAGAGATGGGTTGATGGCGTTGGTGTCTTTGCCGGAGATGTGGAGGTCGAACCGTTTCTGGGCTTCCGCAACAGTTGCGGGGTGCCCAAGAAGGCCGGCGGTTGCGATGAGTGCTGCGCGCTTTTGGCCTGTGAGGTAGCTTTCGCCGTCTTTGAACTCCCAGCCGATTTCTTCGACGGCGGGTGAGACAAGTTCGAGAGTGAATTTCTTCAAACCAGCGCTAATATCCTCGACGTCGGAGAATACATTGCGAACATTACCCATGGTCGTAGTAATTTGAGACCAGACCCTATGTAGACGTCAGTTTAAACTCCATTTCGTATTAAGGGACCATACAGATACTCAGATTCGTTGTGGAATGGTTTCAGAAGAGCGAGCAAGCCTGTCGTAGAACCATAACCAGCGACTGCATTGGCATACGCATCTCCGACAAGCCCAATCTTGTCTTGAACACTCAAATAATCCTTGGCTTCACCAAGCTTTAAGAGGCGCTTTGAGGGGTAGTTTGTCCTGTAGAATCCCGTGAGATCTTTGTTGATCTGATAGAACGAGTCATCAATATCACGAATGGTATCTTCCTTTTGAGTAAGCGCCCGGATCTTATGCACCGCTGCTGCAGAAGCAGATGATCCAGTCTTCAAGCCCAGAGGAATCCACCAGACGGTCTCGTCTTCTTCGGGCTTGGCGTCACCGGTCAGCAGGAAGCGCTGCTGGCGAATGCTGATCTGTCCAGGCTCCTCAGCAACGGTAACGACTGGGAAACCGATCTTCCGGATCCAGAAGTCCATGAAACTGTTGATGTCCTGACCGGATGCCTTGCTCAGAGCAGACCAGAGGTCATTCGTCGTGGCATTCTTGTACTGGTGCGCTTTAAGATAGTCTGCCACACCCTGGAGGAATACCTTTTCTCCAATGTGAGCGCTAAGCATGCGGATGACGGAACTGCCCTTGAGGTAGCTGATATGGTCAAAGATTTGGTCGACCTCAAGCCCGTCATATACGGGCACTTCAATTGGGTGGGATGTACGTAGAGCGTCGAATTGGAAGGCTGTTTGAACGGATTCGGTCTGTATCAGAAGTCAGTCGTCGAAGGTCTCAAGACTTCAAGGTACCTCTAGATCTTCCACGTACAACAAACTGTCCCCAGACATTCCATTCTGCAAACGGATTAGCAAGCGTACTACGGTAAGCCCAGCAGACTACATACCAGGATAGAGATGGTCAATTGCGAACCATCCGACCCACGTAGCAAAGCCCTCGTTGAGCCAGAGCTATAATTGACATTAGTTTCCTTCCCCTGTAGCGGGGTCGATGAACTTACTTCACTCCACCAGTCCATAGTAACGAGATTGCCGAACCATTGATGGGCAAGTTCATGCGCCACAACATATGCGACCCGGTTTCGATAACTGTCTGCTGAAGTGTTTGGGTCGAAGAGCACGGCCGTGGTTCTATTACATGGAATTAGAGCTAGCATTCACAGCGATCGCGGGGGGAGATTGTCATATTACCGGTAGGTAATGAGACCCCAATTCTCCATGGCACCGTGTGACTAGAATACATCGGTCAGCTAAAGCCATAATCGCATGAGAAAGAGGACTTATTATCGGCTAATAAATCAGCAGAGCCCGCAGGGGAAGCGGTATCAGAAAATACTTACAAATTCGTGAACAGCGAGCAGATCGACCTTAGGGAGAGGATAGTCGATTTGGAAGACCTAGAGCAAGTCGTCAGTACCTTCCGTGCTATGCCCCGGCTCAAGCTGTCATACCTCGGAGAAATAGTCAACGACCTGATGGCAATTCTCCAACGCAAACTCCCCCTGCTGCTTCAACCCTCGCGTAGTATACACCCTTACAGGCAGGCTCTTCCCATTATATTTCCTCTTGGTAAAAGCTTCGACATACTCGAAATCTCCAATAGCCCAAGCCAGAAGGTACGTAGACATGATGGGCGTACGGTCAAACAACACGGTCTTAAAGCCAGATTTGCTACTCGGCCTAACCTCCTTCTCGGGCATATTGCTGAGCGCGACCTGGTCCTCGGGCACCTCCAACAGAACATCGAACGTAGCCTTGAGGTTCGGTTCGTCGAAGCAAGGAAAAGCTCGGCGTGCATCGCAGGACTCGAATTGGGTGCTGAACATGTAGTGAAATTCATCGTCACGAGCGACTGATGCTGGGACTTCGCCTTTGGGCTTATACTTGGAGCGGTAGAAGCCAGCCATGACCTATTCTGAAGCTAGTAACTCCACAAGTTGTAGTATAAATGAATTGGAGCTTACATTGTTCATAACGCCCTCAAATTTGACTGTAAGAACACCTTCCCCAGAATATTGAATCAGATCTGTCTCATCCCCAAAGCCCAGTGTAACACGCTGACGCTTCTCGTCATACGTGATATTCTTCGCCTGTCGTGGGGGTACATCCTTCTCCACGTGGCCAAGCTTCAGCTCCGCACTATGAATCTTGAGCTGGAAGGCGTTGAGCACAATTTCAGTCCACTGGTTAGCCCCATTCTGAATGTCGACGTTGATCTCGGCGGCTCCCTGGTAGGTGAAGTTTCCGCCAAACTCGAGGTCATGGAGGGATAGGGAATAGTGTGAGGGCTTGACCCTATATTGGGAGTCGTTGTTAGTCCGAGGCATGCTATGGTTGGGCTGGCTGACGGGCTTACCAGCTTGGTAGAACGTCTCGGTCCGTCGCCATGATTGCAAGGCTACTATTCGACTCCACAGAGCAAAACCGAACCTGTACTCTTGTCGAAGTAACACTACCTAAAGCTAGCTTAAAGTAGGCTTTCGAAAATTGAGGTCGTGTGAGCAGTCTTGTGCAGTCTCGGTTCCTTATACACGTCGAGAATGGGGTGTAAGAGGCAGATGGCCGATGTTTAGTGAATAGCCTTCTCCAAAGCTGGGGGCGAGAACAAGGTCTCGAGAGGTTTGCAAGGGCGGCCAGTTTCAGAGATGTGAGTGCGAGAGGCAATTGCAAAGGCGGGCTGTGGCCGTCGTGAGATGAAGGTGGTGACTCGGAATGCCCCGCGTCCATGCCCCCTCCGGTCGAACCCCGCGCTAGCCGTGCATGGCTATGGCATTCACATTTGCGATACGAAGAGAAAAGCAGAAAACGTATCGTTGGATAGATCCTACGCCTCTTGTTAGAGAATTTAAAAATAACGTTTCATCCCGATTTTGAAAGGTTGCTGGTTCAATATCTAAGCATTCACTTGGACTCCCAAAGTAGGAGAGATCTTTATCATCCTTAGCCGAATGGGTTGAATATAAATATGCCACGGAATGGTAATAGGGTATTGCAAAGGACTTACCTCGTTCTTGCTAGAAGAAGTAGAGCTGCTTGTAAACACATTCCGCCAGCCGGCTCCGATGCCAAAATTATCGTACATTTGCAACCTGCCGTTGACCCCTGACCACCTCTCCCGAATGCACCGTAAAGCCGCAGAGAGAAGATGTAATTAGGCGCTCACAGCGCTAATCGGAGACTCCAAAAGATGCACCAAATACCATGCGCCAGACCAATAATGCACCCTGTCCTTGGTATGGAATGGTATCCCATTGAACCCTGGCAAAGAAAACCCGAGATCCAATCCGCTGTCCAGCCGTCCCTTGTAAGCCAGATAGGCATACGCCAGCCACTCTTCATGACCTTCTCATTTGATAGGTTCATATCCGAAACAAGACATCCAAACACGAAATCCGCCACTCCTTCTTCCCCAATAACCCCTTCACCCACTCATAACTCTGCCCCCCAGCCTCGGCCATACCTCCACTTATCTGACTCCCGACACTCATTTTGTCTTTCAGCCCATTTATAGCAGCTTTCACCGCCGCCTGCGCTGTGCTATTCGCCGCGCTCACCACCAAACTCGCCGTCTCGCCAATCACATCTCTCAACGGACTCGTCCCATTAATCACACCCTCTAAACTCTCGCTTTCAAGCGGTGGCTCAAACCAGGGAGTATGGAAGTCGAACAGCGCAACGACGAGGATGAATAGGAGCAGCGAGCAATACACACAAGGTCGGTTTAGGAAGTAGGTCGCGGAGATAAACAGGACGAGGTAGACGGGTGAAGCATTGGTCCTTAGCCTGATAATTAGTACGTGGACCGCGCCGTCGGACATACATTTACTTACAAAAAGAAGAGGATTGGTATCCAGCTTCGTAGGCAGAACATCGTTGCCTTGTGTATGGACTGTGAGGCTGGCTGGGATTTGGGAATTTGGTTGTGAGCTTATTGCGGGAGGAAGTGAGGTAGGGTTGAAGGAGAATAGGTAACAGGGCACGTGGAGGTGGAGCGAATGAGGGGAATGGTATCAATGCATGCGTGTGAAAGCTGTAAAGGCGTGGTTGAGGGATGTGGAACTTGGGCGGCGGAAGCCAGATGGAGGGCCGACCCAGTTTCGATTTTGTGGCGCGTGGTTGTGGCGCACAGTTTCAGCCACATTTCCCCTTCCGTCTTAGTCTGAGGGTAACAGCCCAGAGAGGTTAGGCATGTGTGTTAAGATTCAGTCTCGTGCTTTTACTTACGTATTTAGAACAATAATTAATGAATGTGTTACACAATATTTATTTTCAAACAGGCACTGAATTACAGCATCTTCGCACTTGCAGCTAAGGAGAAAACGGAAGCATTTGAACTATCAACCCTCTTGCTAGAACTGAATCACGGCATTAACAAAATTCAAATTTCAGTCCTGAACCAGCAGTGTCATGCTCCGTAGTTCATCTCCACATGCGGTCCTTAGCTCCACTTAGGGGGTGGAAGTTCACCGGATTCCTAGCCAATTGAAAAGAGAATTGCACGGCAGTTGTTATACGTCTATTATTCAAACAGTATTACTACGTTTATCTATCAAACAGATTGATCTACGAATAGTTCTCGTCGTTATCAAATATTTACGACAAACATTGAAACCTTCTACTCTAACTTAAAAATAAAAGAGACCTCCGCCTCCTCATTATACAGCTCCCGAACACGATGTTAAAGGCCCAAAGTCTCTCTGCCCATTTCCTACCCCACTCCGTTTTCATCATGGAAGGAAGCTCATATAGCTTTTCCCAATGCTGTTGGACAGTCCGCTTCAGAGTCTTAGTATGGCGAGCCTTATTAGCTCCACCATACGCAAACGGCCTTGGCCAACTGGTCCCAGGGCATTGATACAATCTACGTCTTGAACAATTGCCGATTCTAGATTCTCTCTAGAAGCGACATGCCCGGCTGCGCTTTTTCATTCGAATATGACATGTTCTTTGCAATGAACCTCGTGCGCACAGCGAATTCCTCTGACGCCCCGCCTTCCATCGACATGGCTGGATGTCGATCGGTGCTGCCCCTCCCCCGCATTGCTCTCGAAAAGGTCATTCAGGCCCGTCATCCGGCCCACCGTTAGGCCCATCGGCAGGCTCGCCAGTTTCTGTCGTCTCAGGTACCCAGTCCCCAGTTCGAATGGGCGGACTGGAAATTGTTGATGCCGGTTTTGCCATCCTTGTAGCTTCAGGCTCACCTTCATCATCCGTCATTATTGGTACCGCTCTCCATGGTTGGCCGGGAGCAATCCACATATCCACTCTATCATGCCAAGGTCCTTGTTGCCAATACTGGCTGCTCCAGTTGCAATCCTGAAACTCATCGCTGTCCCATTCATTCAATACTTCTTTAACAGAAAGTGCGGCGTTCTGTCGATATTGGGCTTGAGAGATCGTCTGCCCTGTGTGGTTGCAGGTTTTTCTGGGCTGGCACTCACCAAAGTAGGCTGCCGATCGCACAGTACTCATGTCATCAGCGTTGTATGAGCCAGATCCATACTGGTATTCCCAATGGGCATGGAGGCCACGTCCGGTACGATGTCCCTTGACTGTCCAAACGTCAGATTCTTCTTGCGGAAAAGTAAGAATAGTGTCCGGAGCGATCGACGAAGAGAGGTTGTATACAGGCGATAACCCGGCTCTTCCTTGACGTATCGCGCCAATTGATGTCGACACTCCCACTCCCTTGAGAAAGTGGTAGATGGAGGGACTTGTAAGCGTGAGTCCAGACACAACAGCGGTGTTCGGAAGCCAGGGAATAGTGCGTGTTCCTCCTGGAAGGCGTGTAATATTGGGCATACAGAAAGAAGATCCGGTTAGCGGCGCAGAAGGCCAGTAGTACACTTGGTAATCATCGACATTGAATAGACAAGATTTCGTCGTCTGATTCCATGGTGGTGGCCTTCTTAAAGTTCGGCACATCGGTCTCTCCGCGTCAATAAACCACCGTGGAAGTTGAGTGATATTGGCCTTCGCCGATGACTCGGCCTGCTTGCTCCGCCAGAAGTAGGCCGAATGTAGCCTATAGCAAAGCTTTTCCCTATCCGGCGCTTGTGAGCAAGTGGGAAGTTCAACCCTGTTTTCTGCCCTCCATCTCGATAACCACTCGGGGATAATAGTCGTCCAATAAATCGTCTGCGACCATGTGTATGTTGTCGCCACGTTTCGGCAATTGACCTCTTCACTCCTCTCAGTATTTCTTGCAAGACCGTCGCAGAGTGTGGTATATTGGCCTGTAAAGGGACTTGTGGTGCACATGCGTTCTATCCATGAGGAGCGGTCAAGTCCTAGGCTTGGGGGGTCAAGTCTTGCAGAGGATGCTAGTGAGCTAACCTGTCGTTCGATAAATGTATTGTGCACATTGGCAGATGCCCATGAGTCGTAGCATTCGAGGATGTCACGTGGGATATCATTGAAATCAGGAGGTAAGGGGGGAAACGTGATAGCTGGGATGCTCGGTGGCGCGGTTACCACTGGCGTGGCACTCGTCCAGTTGACGAATGGTAGGATCGAAGTCACTTGCGTTGCTGATTTTTCATGGTTAGGTGTTTCAATTGGCAGGGCTATCAGACTTACAATCTTGAACTACTGCGGCTATAGCCCATCCCCCGAGTCCGAGGACGCCGAGCAAAACAGAGGACACCATCGCCAATATTTCGTGAAATAAGATGGGCTACTTACAGAAGATATCTGTAATGACGCTCATTCGTGATCGTTCTCGTCTTTCGCACGCCTTAAATGCTCATTTTGAAGTGCGGCAGTTAGCAAGGTGCCGGCTGTGGGTAGCCCTTCAGCCCTTCTCGACATGCACGATATGTGATTCTATATGATCTTCCATATTGCAACTAGCGGTCCCTTGTAGAATGTAGGAATCGTTTGTCAAGTGTATTGCGTTGCACTGCGGAAGCGAGGTCGCTTACGGAAACTAAGCCGCCGCATTGTGAACTCCGGTGCAATAAGTGTCTAAGTTTGCACATCTCATTTGCTAGAGCTCACTAGAAATATCAACTTCCCCTGCAGGGTCATATCTACAAGGCAGATTTCGATCAAGACCCAGTCTGACAGCATTCAAGCCAACAACTCAGTGGCATAAGAATGAAGGACATTCACTTATGGAGTTATCAAGGCAGATTCTCGGCATATCACCAAAGGCAGACCACTCCATATCCTAACAGAATGAAAATATTGGTGTTAGGCTAAACGATATAGATAAATTGGTCTGAATGTCTCCATTAGTAAGACCCCGGTGATGAAGCGTCCTGAGAATGGTCTGATATCGTGCGTTAAACACCAGATTCTCATTTTTATACACACTGTTACTGTCCAGTCAGAGGATATAACTATCAATACCACGCAAGTATAGCACATCAGCGTCCTCTATTTAATGGTTCCGCAAAGTACCGTCAGGCTGGACGACACCAAACCCACAGCCTCTATTCAGAAAACTCAGGGCCACGTCGGCGATTGAAACACCACCGCTAACATGCGCAACAAAACAGGATACAACTTTCGCTCACATTAACGTGAGGACAGTGGTTGTGACAAAACAGATCTCCCAAATCCGATCCCCAACTCCACGTCCTGTATGCGACTGTCGTGTAGCACTTCGTCGTACAATTTCCGATTCGGTGGAAGTCGCGTTATGCTGGCTGTCATGGTGACGGGCTTTAATGACATCGGAATCAACTGAAGCACGCTAGTAGAGTAGGCCTGTAAGAGTCAGCATCTTATGCAGGAGAGGGCCCACTCAGGCGCCAGTCACCGGTCCTCATTCTGGTCTAAATGAGTCTGTTGCTCAGTCCAAGGGTTGGAACCGTAGAGCTCATTCTGGCTCCTAGCCCAGCGAATGTTTTCAGCCCAGTCGCTTTTTCCAGCGGATCGATACCGGTCAAGTAAGGCAGCTCGCGGAAGGGAGGGCGCATCCGTGGATTGCAGAAGCGATGGTACTGGAAGGCAAAAGGCATGGTATCATCGCTCCGTAGTACGCTGTCACACTAACGTGCATGAACAATGTGGCACTGGCACTGAACGGGTAGAGGAAGTACGTGGAGGCGGAGAAGATGCATCGAGAGACGCTGGCACTCCGCAAGAAGGTGTTAGGAAAGGATTACCCAGACACGCTAACGAGCGTCTACTGCCTTGCATACACACTGCACCAGTGGGAGCAATACGAAGAGGCTTTGTCACTCTATCACAAGGCTAGGATTGGTTATAAAGAGAAACTTGGCGCGGCCTATCCTACTACCCAAGCTTGCCTCAACGAGTACTCCTCTCTCCAAAAGCTATGCTGTTTAGTGCTTCTAGAAAGCATTACAAATACGCTGAGCAATACAAATGAGGATATCGTACATGCTTCATATCGACAACAATTGCAACCTATCGTTCTAGGGGGCGGGAAAACGTCAAAATGGCACAAGCTACTCTGAAACCTGGGTGTAGAGTAAATGGATAACGTACTTCACAGGCGAGTTGCTCACACACCTAAGTCGCTTACTTTTGCCAAGACCCTACTAAACTACCCTTCCTACACTAATGCATTCCCTATAACACTACTTAGACGCGCTAAAAGAACGTAAGATACAGCTTACGCTCTAGGCTTTTAAATAAGACATAAAGCTTTTAAAAAAATGTGCTATAGCTATATATAAGGTCTTATAAAAAATAATAAATAACTATAGCGCTAGACAACCTTTATAAGCTAATTCTACAGCTAAATTACAAAGGCTAGGCAATAAAAAGAAGTAAGTAATTATTAAGACTATACTTAAGCTATATGCGTAAGAAATTTTCTCTTAGATAGCATTTATAGCTAATATAGCTAATTTTTTACGCGCTAAGCATAATCTAGGCCATGTTTACATAAACTAGCCTAGTATGTTTATAAAGCGTTATTTAGAGCTTAAAGTAATGTTTAAGTGTAAGTATAACTATAAAAAAGCTCTTTATAAGAGTCCTAGGGTAATTTAGGGCAGGTTTAGCCTTATAGAGAATATTAAAGCTAAGTATAGTGTAACGATTCTACGAATCGTTCCATCTCGGGTCGCTCGGATCCTATCCGAAGGGTCCCCGTATCGGCCCCGACCATGACTCGACCCAGTCCCCCGC